GGCCGGCGGGGCCTGGCTCCTTCCAGAAGGAGGGCGGCAGCTTCCTGCGGTGCATGGGGGTGATGTGGCCGTACTTCCTCTCCAGCCGCTGTGTCCGGCCGCCGGCCGCCCGCGGGGACAGGCAGCGGTGCACGCCGTACTCGAAGAGCTCAGCCAGCGGCCCCAGCCTGTGCGTGGCCCCCGGGCTGCCCCGCGGGGCTTCGGGCTGGGCCCCGGCGCTCTGGGGTGACCCGCAGTCCTTGGGCACGGGCTGGGAGCCGGCGGCCTCCTCCCGGCCCCGCCGCCCAAAGTACCGCTGGATGTCGCAGCTGATGAGCTCCGAGAACTTGAGGAGCCGCAGGGTGGTCTCGGCAGTGCTGGAGGCAGCCGGCTCTGGCCTCACGCTCTCCTCTGCTGCCTCCACTTCCTCCTCCTCCTCTTCCTCCTCCTCCTCCTCCTCAGAGAGGTCGTGGAAGTCGGGCTCGGGGTGTGTGGGCAGCAGGAGGCCGTGTGGGAAGGGCGAGGGCAGGCGCAGCTCGGCCAGGGGCTGGATGACCCCTGTGGCCATGTCAGTGCTCGGGGCCACCCCGGGGCCTGGGCTCACTCTGCGGGCAGGACGGCAGGGTGAGGGTGACACACCATGGCATCCTCCCCAAAGCCCGGCCCTGCAGCTCTGAGGTGGCAGCAGATCGTGCTGTGCCACACCATGGCCAGGGTGGGGCTGTAGGACAGTGGGATCATCTCCCACTGGGAGCACTGGGGACGTGCCCACCAAGCCACGGGATACAGGGGAGTGGAGATGTTCCCCCTGGCACATGGGGCAGCAGGGACATCCCCATTGAGCACGGAGACACCAGGCAGCAGGGATGTCCCCACCAAGGCATGGGATATGAGGCAGCAGGGATGGCACCCCTCCCCAAGCCATGGGACATGGGGCAGTGGGGATATTCTAACTGAACCCCAACAGCCAACAGAGGTGTCCCCATCAGGCCATGGGATGTGGGTCAGCAGGGATGTCCGCCTGAATCCATGGGATGTGGTACAATGGGAACATCCCTGGGTCATGGCATATAGGGCATGTTCCCACAAAGTCACAGGATATAAGGCAATGGGAATGCTGCCCTGAGCCTTGGGCCAGGGGGCAGTGGGGACATCCCCCAGAGGTACTGGGCAGGGGGATGTTCCCCTTCAGCCCAGGGCTGTGTATGGAGGTGAACAGGGCTCATCTCAGCACCCATCCCACCACCCTGTGCTCAGAACACACCCTGCCACCCTGGGCTCAGCACCAGGGACACCAAGCCCTGTGTCCTGCTCACAGAATGTCCTCGTGGGTTCCTCTCTGATGTGGTGAACTCACCAGCTCCCCACACCACCCTGGTGGGCTCCAGCCATGGCTGGGTCTTGCAGAGCTGGATGAGACTCCTCTGTAGTTCATGCTACCTGTGCTGAGGAGCCCTACCTTGCCTGTAGTAGCAGTAGCCCCAGCCCTACCTTGTTGCAGGGCACCCCTGGTCACCAGCCTGGCACTGCCATCACCCCAGCCCCAGCCCCGGCCAGGGCACAAAAATCCTGGGGGACCAGTCCTGCTCCAGCCACTCCAGAGGTGGTGCTGGGCCATATACCCAGCCTAGGAGATTGTCCTTGCCATCTCTGGAGTCACCATGCACCCCTCTTCGTGCTGTCCCCACCGCGGGACCCCCGACCCTGCCTCTGTGCTGCCGCGGGGTGGGCTGGGGGAGGCTCAGACACCCGAGGCACTCTCCGGGCTGTGGGGAGAGCAGAGTGGGGCCACCCCAGCGACGGAGCCGGGCCGTCCCACTGCCCCCCTCAGCCTGGGGAACACCGCGGTGCCGGAGGGCATTGCCCGGGGGGCCGCGGCTCACACTCACCTTGGCGCTGCTGCCCGGCCATGCAAAGGCTCCCGCACCGCTCCCCCTGCCCGTCCCTCCACCTGGGCCTGAAGTATTTATAGCGGAGCGGGAGCTGGCGGCTGGCAAATATTTGGTAGCCGTATTGTAATAGTAGACTCGGTAAACAGAGCCGGGGTTTGCTTTAGCACCCAGCAACGGGAGAGCGGCGCGGGGAGGGACGCGGGGACGGAAGGCAGGGCTCACCTTAATGGTTCACTAGCCAGGGGATTTTCAAGTGTTGTCCCTGTAAATTCACCTATTAAATCGGCAGCCCCAGCTGCCAAACTGCCCGCACACTTGTGCCGAGGGCTCTTATCTCCCCGCTGATTGGAGGCGAAATCAAGCTTTGTCAAATAGGCGTAAAATTAAATTTCATGCTATTTTGACTCCTGGAGTAGGGATCTTCTGAAGAACATACTGCGTATGGAGCGATGCCTCTGCAAACAGGGGCTGCCGCTGCAGTGGGCAAAGACTCTCTCTGGGGTCCCCCCAGGTGCTGCTGGTTCAGACCCCCCATCTCCATCCTTGTGCCCCCTCCCCCGAGGTGGGTGTCGGGCTCCCTGACCAGCCTCGGGAGGGGTTTTGGAACCTGTGCATACAAAGGTGGACACGCTGTGTGGAGAATGGTTGGGCCAGCCCCACAGCGCCTGGATGGCAGCTCTGTCACTGGGGATGGGGCACTGGGGTGCCCCACGTCTCTGCTTATGGCCTGTGGCCCTGCTGGCCCACACAGAACCCGAGGGGCTGAGGATGGTGACGATGGGAATCAGCTCAGCTCACAAAGGAGGCTGTGCCAGAGGTCCTGGTTTTGCTTTGGCAGTGGGATGTGCCAGCAGGGCTGTCTGGGGCAGCACAGAACACGGCCAGGGGACATGGACAGCTGGGGGATGCAGGGTATTCAGGGACACGGGATAGCCAGAGGACACAGGACAGCCTGCCCACGACAGCTGGAGGGCACAGGATGGCCCTGACACAGTGCCTGGACTCTGCCACCAGTGGTGGGGACACACAGGGAGTGAGGACAAAGGCCATGGGGGTTGGGGACAGGCACAGCCCTGCTACAGATCTGCCCTGCTCTGCTGTTCTTGGGGTGACCACAGCTCCCTCGGAGCCCTTCCTGCCCCCTGCCCCGAGCACCCTGTGCTGAGCTGTCCCCCGGTGCCGAGGCTGGGTCCCCAGCCCCTGGCACGGTGCAGCACTGGCAAGGGGAGCGCCGTGGCTGTGCCCACCCCCTCCCCGGGGCCGGCAGCCTCGGGACACCCTGCGGGAGCAGAGCTGAGCACCGGCTCCGCAGAGCTGCCTCTCCTCTCTCCAAACCCTCCCCCTGGCAGAGCCGGGCGGGAGCAGCCATCAGCCATCCCGCCCGGGCACCGCTGGGCAAACACGGCTGATAAGCCACGGGCACCCTCCTGGCCGCTCCCTGACGACACCCATTGTCACCCACCCGCCCGGCACGGCTTGACGTGGCCATCGGCTGCATCCCTGGGGAGCCTGATCCCGCCGCCGGGGTCCACAGGGAAGGGGGGCTTCCTCCCGTGTCCCCAGCCACTGCTGCCCCAGACGGTCTCACTGCCGTGCAGGAGCCGGGGAGAGCTCACGGAGCCTCCAGCTCAGCCTGGCTTGGAGGTAAGGGCTGCACCAGCCCTTTGACTGGGTGGGAAGGGTCTGGCTGTGCTGGCAAGGGGCTCCAGGGTGGGGCAGGACGTGGGGAGCACAAGGCTTGGCTCACAGAGTTGGGAGTGCCCATTCCCTTCTGTGGGAAGGAATGGAATAACACATTTAGGGAGCATCCAAGGCTCAGCAGGACTGTTCCAGGGGCGAGCTGGAGGGAGAAGCAATGCCACTGCCCCTGCAGCAGGCATGTGGCTTTGCAGCCATCTGAGGGCCCAGGGTGGCCATCCCTGCTCCAGGCTTTGCCAGGGCCAGGCATGAGGAGCTCCCGTTGCACAGGGAAAGGGGTCTCCTGCCTGCAGAGACCCCCCAGACAAGCAGGGTGTTCTCAGCCCTCACTCGAGGGTTGATCCTGCACCCCATGCTCGGGGCTGGCTCACGCTGCCGGTGCTTTAAAGCCAACGGAGCTTTGACGCTTTAAGATGGGGGAAAACAGGCATGATTATGGCAGAACAGAGAGGCCTGTAAGGCAGGGCTCCAGCACCAACCCTCGCTGCCTTTGCAGCCCTGCGGCAGCACAAAGGCGCGGTGGGAGGGAGCATCCGTAGGGTGGCTGGGGCCTGGAGCTCGCGGTGAAGGGATGGAGGTGAAACCCGCGGGGTGTTGGGAGCTGCAGCTGGAGCTCAGAGAGATGGACAGGGCACACAGCGCCCGGCAAAGCTCCGCAACAGCCCAAGCTCCGCTGCAAAACCACGACCTTATCCCCCTCCCGCAGCTGGGGAAGCAGTCCTGGGCTGTCCTGTCCTGTCCTGGGCTGAGCTGACCTGTCCTCATCCCCTCATCGCTGTATCCCCTTGTCCGTGCATCCATTCTGCCTCCCGCCTGCCCTGGCCATGCATCCCATCACCATCAACCCCCAGCAAGGGCTTTCCTCACCCCCCACTCCCCCTCCCCACCTTCCCCCCGGTGTTCCCCCGCTGTCGCAGTGCCGTGGGGACGGACGGCAGCCACGGCAGCCTAGCCTCGCACCTCGCCGCGGCCCGGCTACTGTGCCCACCACACCCTACAGCCCCAGGGCGGGTCCCGGGGCAGATCCCGAGGCAGCGCCGGGGACGGGCTCGATCCCGACGGGGCAGACCAGGGATGGGGAACCCGGGATGGGGAACCCGGGATGGGGAACCCGTGAGTGTTCCCGGCCAGCCCTGCCCCTTCGACAGGCCCCTGCCCCTGACATGCGACCACGCCCCCTATCAGAGCCACGCCCATCCACCTGCCCCAATCCATTCCCTGCCCCTGCGGCCCCGCCCCTTCGTTTCGGCCCCGCCCTCTCACTCCACCCCTTCCCTCCGGCCCCGCCCTCCCTGTCCCTCAGGCCCCGCCCATTGCCCCTCCCCCGGCGGACTACCATTCCCGTGGTGCCGCGCGGCGCAGGGCGTGGCCGCTTCCGCCCAGCGCCCGCCGCCGCCGCCGCCGCGGAGCCGCCGCCGCCCCAGGCCCCGGGACCGCGCTCGGTGCCGGTCTCTGCCCCGCCCGGTCGGAGCCGCCGCTCCCGGCTCGGCCCCGCCATGTCGGCCCAGGCGCAGATGCGGGCCCTGCTGGACCAGCTCATGGGCACGGCCCGGGACGGTGAGTAGGGGCGGGCGGGGCCTGCAGGAAACGCCGCGGCCTCGGCGGCCGCCTCAGCGCGCGGGGCCCGGCCCGGCCCGGCCGCTGCCTCCGCTCGCTCCGGACCTGCGGCGCGATCCGCCCCCGCCCGCCCGGCCCCAGCCCCGTGGCGGCGGGGCGGGCCCGGCCTGCCCGGCATGGGGGTCCCGCCGCGCCCCGGCCCCAGGGAGCGCCCGGCGCGGCCCAGCCCCGCCGCCACGGGCCCGGCCGAGCGGGCAGGCCCAGGGCCGGCTCCGTGCCCGCGCATCCAGAGGCACTAGGTAGGTGTGCCTGCAGCGCCGGGTGCGGTCCGGCACCAGAAATGTGACAGCCCGTGCAAAATACGGCCCCGCTGCGGTTTGTGTTCTCCCTTCTGCGACTCGCTGGGTACTTAAATCCCCTTTGGCACGTTAGCAGGGCTGTCCAGGCACTTTGCACTTTGTTTCGTAAGTGAATAAGTGCTTTTCTTTTCTCTGTGTATTGAGTTGCTATTGAATTGCTTCCCATATTTTTATTTCATACAAACTGAACAATTGTGGCCCCTCTATTTTATTTATAAAGGTTCAGTGTATCTTTGCCTGCCTACATCAATCTGCAAGGGAGTTGCAGAAAAGCCTCATGTTCATCGAGCCGTGAGTCACAACCAATTTTTAAAGCTGTTATAACAAAAAAAAAAAAAAGTGTTTGCTTTTTTTTCACAAGTAACTTTAAAAGTGTAGCTTAGAAAGAAAAAAAAATGAAAAAAAAAATTCAGTAGACACAACATTATTCCTGGATGCTTGTGAATCCTAATACTTTACTATTCCCATACTTTAGTATTACACATACCTGTGTCATATGCACAGATGAGCTTTAAAATTGTCACATACCATTACCACTTTGCCTTTACTTTTATGTATCATTCCCCTGACTTCCTTACTGCAGGTGTGGGCAAGAAAGCTTTTCCTTTAAAACTTTTCAACAATGGGCATAAAATTCTGCAGCTGAGGTCTTGAAGAATGCAGATGGGTATAGTATGTGTTGGAGCTCGCAGTGTGTATTGACTAACTTTGTTTCTTTTTTTTTTTCCTATTATTATTATTATTTTTAATTTTTTTTTTTTTGCTTTTCTGATATTGTGTCGTTTTAAGTGGCTCCTGAGTGTAAAATGTCCTCTGAGGGTGGGCTGAGGGTGGGTGTGTTCCAGGCCAGGACCACCTTTGCACGGCCTGGGAAGAGCACACGGTGTAGTCGGGTTCCACACCAGAAGGACTGGTGGCTCAGTTACCACGTGAGCAAAGAGCAGCTGCCTGTAAAAACTGCCCAGCACAGCCCTGCTTGCTGATCCGTGGGGTTTGGTATCTCCTGCCCCTTCCTCGCAGTAAAACAAAACAAAAAAATGGGTGGAAAAAAAAATAGCAGTTTATAGCTGGGAGCCAGCCTGTCTGCCTGCTTTTCTCTCTTCTGGCTGTGCTGCCTCTTTATATGGATGACAGGCCTTGGACGTTGCTTGGCTCGCCAGCACTGTGTTTAACATGGTGTCCTGGATGAATAAATGCTAAAATAGTGTTTGTTGCCAATTATAAGTGTTCCAGAATATCCTGTTGCCCTCTAAGCTGGTTTGTTTAGTTGGTTTTTGGTTTGTTTTTTTTTTTTTTTTTTTTTTAGTAAATTTGGGGAGCAGGAGCACCAAGTATTTTAATCTGCATTTTGAGGTGAAATGCTCGTGCCCACGCCTGCGTTCCCTTGGTGTTCTAATGTCTCCTTATTTAAACCACACATGAATTGCAGGAGATGAAACCAGACAAAGGGTGAAGTTTACAGACGATCGTGTTTGCAAGAGCCACCTCCTGGATTGCTGTCCCCACGATATCCTGGCTGGAACAGTAAGTATGGCATCTGTCCTGAGGGATTCTGGTGGGGAGGGTGGGTGACTTCTAGGAGAGAGCAGTCCCAGTCCTAATTCCAGCTTTTGTGAACTGTGTATGGCAACTGCTGAAGTCAGGAGCTCTTAAAATACGCCTGAAATGCTTTTTCCCTCACAATCCCATGTGTGAAGTTGTAAAATCCTTTCTCTTTTTAGCAGTTTTGAGGTGGTCAGAGCCTGAAACTTGTCCTGTGGTGGTTCCCAGACTGTAGGTTGGCTGCTGCCCTGGGTGCTCTAGTTCACTGTTGCATCTTCAGCTTAGCAGGTGTTTTCTTAGCAGCTGCAATAGTCCTTGGAGGTTCTCAGTCTCCTCCCTCCAACCCTGTGGTGTTTCCTGATGGAACAGCAGCTATTCCATCATTCCTAGTGGGGTGGCAATGGCAGGTCACAGCTCCAGACGAAGGCTGGTTGGTTGAGCTGTTTGGTTTTTGTGTCTCTCTGCCCCGCTGGTCTCACACGGTTCTCTCTGCTCCTTCACTGCTCCCTGTGGGAACAGGGCTGGCCAGTGTTCAAAGGTTTGGCTCACGTGCTCCCTCTGAGAGCACAAGGTGATATGTGGGCTTTTAACAGTGAGGTGAGTGTTCAGCTTGGGCTCCCAGATGAAAGCTGGGACTTGGGAAAGAAAACACTGCGTGTCTTTTGTCCCCGTTGCTGTGTTACAGAATTCCAGGAGGGAGGTGAATAGGGGTGTTTGAAATCCACCCTCAGCCTTTGCTAGAAATGCTGTGGCGTTCCCAGTGCCCATCCACTTGCCCAGGTTGTTTGAAGATGCTGTGGTTATTTATAGCCCTTCCTGCTGCTCTTCTGGGAGCTGGCTGGACACTGTGGATCTCCAGCAAAGGGAGGGCTGGCACTGCTGCCCAGCTTGTGTCACTGCCATAGCAGGGCTGTGGCAGCACTGCTGGAAAGAGCTCTGAGTGCTCAAACTTCAGCTTCTCGGTGGCTGCCTCTGAATAAGATTGGAAGAGCTGAATACCAGTCTCTGTGTATTTATTTTTTATTCATTTGAACCTCAGATACGTTTTTCAGTGATTGCTCCATCAGCCATCACTTCCATTTCAGAATTTTAAACCTCCATCCTTCATGTAGGTCACTGTGGTCAAGGTATATTTTTTGACACGAGATTCTACAAGTTTTTTGGGGCCCAAAGGGTGATTTGAAGGTGCAGGCTGCCTTCTGCCTCTTCTGGGAGGTTTCCAGGAGGAGGGTAAATGATGACTTAAAGGGGTTGAACTACATGATGTTTGTGACTGCAGGAGCTGGTGCCAAAGTCTGAGGTGTTCAGGTGGGCTGTGAGTTTCCCAGGGCAGGGAAGCACCTTGAAGAATCTATTTCTCTTGCTTCTGGTGTTACTTGTCTTGATAGAGTTGTCCTTTCCCTCTTTGCTGTGGAGTTTGTGCTCAGAAATTGCAGGAGCAGGATGGAATAAACCTGATCTTGTAGGTCACTCAGATGATCTTGTGGTGGCCTTGAAGTGGCTGTGGAGCTCTGCACCACTGTCAGCCCGTTCCTGGGGGCAAGGAAAAGTGCTGGTGCCCCAGATCTGTGTTGAAAGCACATGTGATGTCCAGAACAGGAACAACACTTCAGCTGTCAGCACTAGCAGCGTGGAATGAAACCCAGCTGGAATGTGCAGGCTCTCCTCGTGATCCCGGGCAGCTCCACGGGCACCTTGTGGTGCTCTGCGAAGGAAGGGCTGTGTGGGCGAGTTGGCCTCAGCTGGGTGGGGGTAACACCCATCTCTAGGTGTATTGCTGCAGCAATCAGGGCCTCGGATCTCTTGGAAACTTCCAACAGATGCTCCAAGCCTTCTGGTGCTAGCTGTGTTGCGTCCTCCCCCTGAAGGCATTGTTCCTGCTGCATCCTTTGTGCCTGCAGACATTCCTTGGTGGGAGGCTGATTGGAAGCTGCTCTCTTGGGTAGCTGTGCTCAGTGGAATGTGATGGGAGTCCCATTCACTGACCTTCAGGTGCAGAGTAAGAGAAGGAGTCCAGGCTGTCAGTAAAGCTCTGGAATATTCCCGGGAGCTGCAGGAGGCCTGTTGATGTTGCTTTGTTCAGGGGCACCAGCATTCCTGGTCATAAGAGCTGTCCATATGTTGGATTGTTTCTGTGATTATTCTCCTTTTGGCTCCAGAAATTTGTCTTAACTCGTCACTAAATAAGCTACAGTGGTTCTCTAGAAGCCTGTGGGCTTACTAAACTAGTTTCTCCCAGAATTTTCTTCCTTACCCACAGAGACCAGAGAAAACCACTGTAGCTTATTTACAGCTGGTAATCCTCCTGAATTTGAGCTCCACTAAGAACTGGACAGATGAATCTGAAAGCTGCCCAGGTTGAACATAGCTTGAAAGTTACATTCAGGGAATTGTGTCCCTGACAGGGGAATATGAGTGAGCTGAAATCTGTAGATTTTAGAATTGTTTTATGGGGGGTCTGTGCTTTCCTTGTTCACTCAGGTGAAACTCTGCAGCTCTGATCACTACTAAAGAGCCTTCTTTGTGGAAATTTCACTTTGTGGTGAGGTAGCAGTTCAGCAGAGAACATAAGAGATGCCTCAGAATGTGGATTGCTCAGGAGATGTGAGCAGGACTAACCAGTGACATCTAAATGTCTTCAATCTGTGTGTTAAATCTTGTGTGGGGGTTTAAATCTTCACTTGGGCTTTGCTGGCCACCTGTGTTACAAACCAGCCAGTGCTGACTGGAGCAAGTTGTGATGTCTGTGGAAAGGCTGAGTGGTGACAGCCCTCCCTGGGATGAGAGGATGCTTTGAGGCAGAAGGGCTGCTGGTCTTACCTCATGTGAGCAATACCTGTGAAATCTCCTTGCCTCAGAATGTCCCAAGGGACATGGAGGAAGACTTGAGGTTTGTAAGCTGGTGAATGTTCTCCTCTTTTAACAAACAGGTGCACATTGTTGGCTCTTCTGAAGTTTTGGGTTGAAGCCCCTTCTCTTAAATGGGGTTAAGTGGCTCAGCTTGCAAGAAAAGTTCAGATAAGAATATTTGTGATCTGTGACAATCACATCTAATATCATTAATTTGTCCCTGTTCTGGAAAGTGATCTCAGTCAAATGACCATGAGAATAAAAGATATGTCACATCATAGAAAGAGTTATTTTTGTGGTAAAATAACAGTAGCTCTCCAGCATTCTTTGAAGAGGCTTGCCTGAAGATGAACATGATCAAGCTCTGAAAGTACCAGCATGTGGTTTTTTTTTGTAGGCATTAAATTTCCACCATTTGAGCTCAGCAGGACTATTCTGGATGCAGTGTCTGTTTCTGTAGCCTGTGGCCTCCTTATTCTGGTAAATCTGAGCAAAATGAGGAAGGCTAAATAGTGGCAAGTCATCCAGAACTGGTTTATTTTTGTCTAAAAAAGAAAAGCTAATGAGAGATAACTGCTGCAAACCTGAGTCTTACCTGGTGGAGTTTGCTTTCTTTGCCAAACACTGCTGTTCAAGTGCATTGTTTCACATAAGTGTCCCCAACTTTAGTTTGTGAAGGTTCCACAGGGATTCTGTGTTATTCCACTTTAGCTTTTTCCTGCAGTTCAGTGAGTTGACACTTGTTGTGTGTGTGCAGGTTTGGGCTCCTTGGAACTGGTGGTGACTGGGAGAGAAGAGGAGAAGAGGGCTGGGGTGTTCCTTGACATGTACCCTGCCGTTCCTACTATGGCTCACAATTAGGGCTTTTGTTGTTTTGGCTTTCAAAATGTCATATTCTTTCTCTACTATAAGAGAAGTGTTCTTTGTTACAAATTGGTGATGTTGAAATGCCATTTCTGTTTCGAGAGCATATTAGACTTGGGTTCATGTGGCTGTTAACTACTGGGTTGGGGAAAAGTAAATAGCATTGGCTGCAGTGGGAGGGACGGGCAGCATGCAAGTCAGAGCTTTCTGGGAAGGGAGATGCTCTTAAATCTCTCATTAAATGGGCTTATTTGTAGGACTTAGCTTTGCTGGGCAAGCTTTAAAATTCCAGGCTGCAGCTGGCTGTGGGAAGGGGCTGGCTGTAGAATTAAGAGTCTGTTGTTGCTGAATGGGGGTTGTGCATTTCTACTGGCTGTAGCCCTTATTCCTTTAAGTCCACTTGTTGTTGATAGGAAGCATTGTTTCTGCCCTACAATTTTGTGTCATTTGATATGTTATTAGGGCTTGTCCTTTCACAGATGTGCATTTCCAGGTGAGCTTTAAACAGAGCGCAGGTGTGCTTTGCTGTGCTGTGGCTCCATGAGAGGAGGCACTTGCAGTTGGTGCCTGTTGAAGGAGACCCAACTCCCTCACAGCAGTTTCTAAGGCTGTGCTATGACCTCAAGCAGGAGTAGGACTGGACTTAGAACATTGCCATAATGGAGAGTTTTTACACAGGTCTTGCTTTTTCTCTTCCACAGCGAATGGACCTGGGAGAATGCACAAAGATCCATGACTTGGCACTGCGAGCAGATTATGAGATTGCAAGTAAAGAGAGAGACCTCTTTTTTGAGCTGGATGTGAGTATGGAGAAATTTCAGTTACTTTTGTGGGAAATGCTTCTTGAAGTTACTGATCTGAATAGTAGAACTCAGTGACCGTTTCAGCTCATCGTGGTGTTTGATGTGTGACCAGCGCAGGATGTGCAGTCCCTTCCTGACTGTGGGCTTGATTGCTGACTTGGAACTGTACAAGTAATTATGGCACTTGCCATCCCCCATTAGCTCAGCTAGCCTGGAGGCTCCTCTGGCATTCCTGGCATCCCACACCTGTTGCTCTGCACCAGGTCGTTGTAACCTGGTACCCTGTCCCAGAAGGGGATTTAACATTAAAACCCTTCTGCTCAGTGGTTTCACTTTTGTGAAACCACTGTGATTTAGCCTTCTGTGATGGAACAGATCAAGGGGAAGAACAATTCTGTCTTCCCTTTTCATGTTATTCCAGTGCTTTTGTCTGTGCACCTGTTGCTCCTGCTTTGGAAGTTCCAGTGCAAAGCAGAGTTGATGGGAGCATCCTGTGATGTGTCAGAGTCAAGGAACTGGGTCAGGTTCCAGGCACGGGTCAAATGTTATTTGTTCTGCAGAGTGTCATTTGTTGTTTGGTTTGTTGTTTTTTTTTCCCCAAAGCATCTGTTCTTGAGATTGTTTATGCATTACACAGGGACTGCACCAGATGGCTGTTGGCTGTCAAAGGTATGTGTGGAATGGAGAGCATCTTTTATTCCTAATTCTTTGTCTGATCACACAGGCCATGGATCACCTGGAATCCTTCATTGCAGAGTGTGATAGGAGAACAGAACTGGCCAAGAAACGCCTGGCTGAGACACAGGAAGAGATCAGTGCTGAAGTGTCTGCAAAGGTATTGGCCTCTCGTTAAACTTTGGTTCTGGAAGTCTGTGTGGGAGCTCTGGTGCTCTGTTGTCTCTGACACCACTGATGATTGATGGTTTAGAATAGCAAATCCATCCTGTGGTTATCTCTTTACTTTGCAAATGCTCATGGAGTTTCCTCTTTGGGAACTTGCTTGTCTGGGCCAATACAGGACATTTCTGAAGCTGGTTTTGTGGACTCTGTACTGTCCTGTAAGCCAGAAATGTGCTGCTTTTGCAGCAGAACTGATGATGTCCTCTCCATGCCCAGTTTCTCTCTTTTTGCCAGGTGTTGGTGACTGTTGTGATTGGCCCACCAGTCCCTTCTGTTGTGCCTCTTGACTTCTGGAGATTTATGGTCATCTTCCAGCAGCTGATTTTGTTAAACAGCATTTTTTAAAGAGAAGGGAAAAGTTTTCCTGCAAGCTCCATCACGTTTTTTTCTTACTGAAAACTAACTACTCTCTTTAGGCAGAGAAAGTACACGAGCTGAATGAAGACATTGGAAAACTCCTAGCTAAAGCTGAACAGCTGGGAGCTGAAGGAAATGTTGATGAGTCTCAGAAGATCCTGATGGAAGTGGAGAAAGTCCGAGCGAAAAAGAAAGAGGCAGAGGTATGGCACTGATTCTGTGGATTGGAACAGGGGCCTGGGCTGAGCACATGGCACAGCTGGGCACTTCCCACCTCTGCTCCTGTGCTGCCAGCACCTCCTTTCCCAGTTTCAGCCATGTGCCAGCAAGCAGTTGGCAGGGGATGATAAGCTTTTTAGAAACTTTTCTCTAGTGCAGAGAGCTGACTGTGGCGGGGAGGGCTTTGTCCTCTGGAGTATTTGGTCCCTGTTCCTTCGCAGGGATGGACTGGCGGGCTTAGCTGTGCCCACAGAGTGTTTGTGTGGCACCTCCTTTGTGTGGGGGTGGGTTTTCATTCTTGAAAGCCATTCTTTGCAGGGGTTTCCCTGGAGGGTCGTGACAATGCAAGGCTTCCCTGACACTTGTGTGGGTTTTCTTGCCTCCCTTTAGGAGGAATACCGAAATTCAATGCCTGCATCCAGTTTCCAGCAGCAGAAGCTGCGTGTGTGTGAAGTCTGTTCAGCATATCTGGGTCTCCATGACAACGACCGGCGTCTTGCTGACCACTTTGGAGGCAAATTACACTTGGGTTTCATTCAGATTCGTGAGAAACTGGATCAGCTGAGGGTAATCCTCTCTGTTTTAAACCTTCTCTTTGTAGTTTCGAAGACATTGAACACTTCTATTAAATTAATACAGAATTCTTTGCAGAGTGCTTGTAAAAAGCCCGGAATCTTCCAATTGCAGAATCCCTGAAACTTCAAATGGAGCCTTTTTTAGCCTTGTCTTGGGTTCTGTTCTGTGTTTTCTGGGTAGCTAAATATGTATCCTCAGAATCAGTCAAGCTAGACCATGGCTGTCATTTATTCCTCAGGGCATTGGTACAGTCACCTGTATTTTTCTCGTTGATATGGCTGAAATTTGTCACTCTGAGGCCTCTTAATGAGATGTTTGAACTGAAGTTTCACATAGTGCTGTCAGCATAAAAGGTCTTGAGTAGCTGAAGCCATTAGGAGTTTTCTGAAGAGGTTTGTAATGGGTTGTGGCACTGGCCTTGCTTCCAAACAGAGACCTTTAGCCTGCTCTAGTAAGAGTTGTGATTCCTGTGCCTCACTCAGTATATTGAGGTCAGTGCCTTGACTGAGGAAAATGAGAACCTTGGTAGAGATCTTGAGCAGCACATAAAATGCAGTGAAATGGTTCTTTGTCTTGCTCTGGGAAGGGTCTCCCTGCAGATTCCTGACCTGTTACTGTATGGCTGAAATATGATGTGGACTGTTTTGGGGTTTTTTTCCTAGAAAACAGTGGCAGAAAAGCAAGAGAAGAGAAACCAGGATCGTTTGAGACGGAGGGAGGAGAGAGAGCGAGAGGAGAGGATGGGCAGACGGTGAGTGGAACCTGACAGCTGGCTTGTGAAGTTGGGTTTTAAATAGTCTGATTTTTCGTACCTTAGCATTGCAGGAACACAGCATCTGCTGCTGGAGTAGCTGTTAGGTGAGCTCTGGATACTGTGTGAGCACCTTGGGGTTCAGTTAAAGATGGAAACACGTGCACAAACCCCCACCACAGAGTGTATTGCTTCAACTGCCATTGTGTGTCTGAAAGATGGGAGCTCCCTCCTGTCTTCAGGCTTTTATTGGTCTACTCCCTGTCCTTGGGAATCTGAATCTGGATAAAATGCCCTCATCCAGTGCATCTGAGTGGGAAAGTTCAAAATGAGTGAGGACTAGGTCTGCTCAAAAGGGTCTTGCAGATATTCCCTGAACAGCCCCCTCACTTCTAGTCTTGGAGGTGACAGCTCTGTGGAGCTGGTATCCATGAGCTAAATAGGGGGCTGCCTGTCTTGCTCCAGAACTTTTCTACAGTAACAGTGAGGTGCTTTTGGCACAGCTTTGGCAAACACTTCCAGGGGATCCAAGAGATCCCAAGGTGTGACTGCTTCTGGTGGTTGTGGCCATATGTGTCACCTTCTGCTCAGATGTCTGTAATTCCTGAGCAGTAGGAGTGGCTGGAATGTTGGTATTCTCAGGACAAGCTCTTCTGCTTCCTGCCAGCTGAACTGGAAAAACAGTTTCTTCTGTACTTGAAGTGAAGAGGCACCTTGTGTGTAAACAGCTCTGTTGAACAGCCCGTTTGGGGAGGGTGGTTATTTGCAGGGCTCAGGCAGAGGAAGTGGCTGGGTGGGAATACTGTTCTCATTGTTACAGCATCTCCTCAGTTACCTTATGTGTTTCTCTTGTACTTCTTGCATCAAAAAAAACCCAATCTTCCTGCTTGTGGAGAGCTCCTTTTGACCTTTGGTGTCAGCTGGAGAGTGAGTTTGTCTGAGGCAAATGAGATTTGTAACTGAATTGTGCTCTGAGGTGGTGCTGGCTTCTGGCTATAATTACTGGAAGTGCTGACAAATAAACACCAGGATGAAGCAGCTTGGTGATTTTGATGGAATGTGAAAGATGTAAGCCCCCAATTGTTATGTATTATGCATATTATTATATCAATTAGGGTGTTTTATATGGGTTTTCTCTCTGTGGGTTGCCTGGTGGAATATGAAGTGCCAGTTTGTGCTGCAGCATTCTGGTGCCTCTGGGGTTTTTTTGTGTTTTTTTAAAAAAAAACCCTCAGTTCTTTAGCATTAAGGAGCCTTTTGTGTTTGTAGGTAGGTCATGTATGGATGCACCTGATGAGGGGGTTTGAAGATGGCTTTTGAATGTTTATTTATGCCTTTAAATAGGAAGGGCTTAAGAACTGCACCGAGTTGGCCTAAAGTCTGAGTTCTGGCTGCTTCCCTGTGTGACACTACTTCGACACCATGGCTGGCTCTGTGTGGAGGCACCTGTGTGCTCCCCTGCTCAGATACCACAGCAAAAGTTGTTATGAAGGAGCCAGGAGTGCCATACAGAGGAGGTCAAATTAATTGCCTCTCCAGAACGAGACCTTGACCCAAAGGAGGACAATAGTTCTCCCAGTGTCAGAACTGAGGTTACACCCCACATTTCCCAGCCCCTTACCCGCTGGGAGCTGTGCACACCATACTCACAGGGGCACTTCTCCATCAAAAACTAGCTGGTGACTTGGAGCACTTTTCAAACAGCCCCTTATCCAGAGCCTGATACTTTAGGGAACCACAGGAAACCTGTTTTCTGCAGAACTCTTCTTGTCATATCCTCATGTGCAGCATCTTCATGTTACTCAGTAAGAGAGAGTATGACTTGACTTTGGGAGTCTTTGGTGACTGGCAGGCACTGTGACATACTCTGGGAACCTCTGGGTTCCCTTGTGAAACTCTGCCTTTCACAGCTGTTATTAATTTATCAATAAACTGTTGTTCCACGTAGGAATGAGTGAACTGGGTTGTCACACTTAGTGGTAAATAAACACTAGTCGTTTGTTTGGTGTTGCTGGTGGGTGTTGGGTACCCAGTAATCTTGGAAGACTGGAATTCTGGGGAGAGGTGGCAAGCTTGGAAATGCAGCCCTCAGGGTTTGCCTCCAGGCTACACCAGCAAACAAGTCCAGTGGAGTTGCCAAATGGATTTCCTTTGTGTTAGGCTGCACAAAAGACAGATTATGAAACTCAGCACAAAGTCTGTGATACAGAGACCAGAGCGAGGGAAAAATAAAGAAAATAGACACGCTCAGCCTCTTGCTCCTCTGGACAGCAGTCTTCTTTTGTCTCCTGCTGATTCAGGCTAGTAAGAAAAGAGCTGTTTTGTTGGATACTTCCTGAAATCTGAAGTGTGACTCCAGGGTATGTTTATCAGGAGTTTTTTGTGCGTGTTCCTGCTCGGATCACAGGCAGGGGAGGGCAGCCAGGCTTTCATGGGGACGTGGAAGGGCTTTGCGAGGATGTGGCGCACTGGTGGTTTGGAATAAAGTGATCGGGATGAGAAGAACATTAAGAACTTGGAGTAATTACAACCACCCGAACAATTCATCTGCCTGCCAGGCACCCCCAGGAGGTCCTGCTGCTCCGTCAGGTTTTGTTAGGTGGGAATAGGTGCGTGGTTATTGCCTTGCTCTCCTGGTGTGTCAGCTTTTCCTTCACCTGCTCCTGGGTGTTGCCTCAGTGAATGGCTCGTTGGCAGTCTCCAAGTTCAGCTCCACCTTGTTTGCAGTCCTATCTGAATTCCCCTCTAAATTTGGGGTTTCTTTTGCTTTCTACCATGACTGAACAACCCCATTTCATTGTGAAGAAATGTTCAGTGCACACTTTGCTTAATCGTGTCTTACCCGGGTGTGGTTTTAAATGATGTTGTTAAAACAGACGCTTCTCTGTTTCTTCTTCAATTTTCATGTGTAGCTTTCAGCCACATCTGCCACAGTGCCAGGGGTGTGACTGCAACACCCCTGTGAGTCTGTGCAGCAGGGAGCAGTTACAAGAGTGAGTCTCTAAGTCACTGAACAGGGAGATCAGCCACTTCTTAATTAAAGCAAAACGAGGCTGTTCAGACAGCACGTGAAGGTTTGGTGTGAGCTGGCTCTGAAATGTGGCCACAGAGGAACAGGGAGGGCGGGTCTTGCACGTGCTGTGGTATTTTAAGTGGTGCTGAGTAATGGTGCTGCAGAAGTTGAGAGAACGGTGATGTTATTTATGTCAAAAGCTGACAGCAGTAAGCTGGGAGTGCCACACACAAGCTCTGAAGCCATGGAAATATGAGAAAGAATAGTGAGGCCTGGATTAGTCTTCTCAAGTGCTTTTTAAGTCAGGGATGAAGGATTTTCAAGTTTATATCTGTCACTTCTCAGCTCTTGCCTTTTGGCCGTGTCCCCTGTTTTCTTCTAGTTCATCTTTCCCAGACAGGGATAAAATATTTATGCAAATTTCCCTCTAATATTTGTTAAACAAACACAATGAGGTAGAAACTGTTGTTTTCTTTACTAAAACCTTTTCAAATTACAACTGCCTCAAAAAAACCAAAACCAGAAATCTGCCAAGTGTCTTTCTGACTGGAGAGTGGCACTTCTTGAAAATCTAGAGTTGATCCAGCTGATGTTAGACTGCAGGGAGTAAAGGATATATAACAAATGTGCACAGTAAACTTAGAAAGGCTCATTGTGGTGCTTTATCAGAGACTGAACTGGTTTCTAGACCTTTCCTGTTGTGACAGGAAGCTCTGCAAGCAGAAACTGGTGTTTCGACAGAGTTCTTCGGTTTTTGACAAATTCTCACTGCCCACAAAATTGAAGCTAATTAAATGTTTTAATGGCAAGCTTTTTTTTTCTAAACTGACACATTAGTTGGGGTATTGCTGTGTTCCTGTGAAGAGCTGCCAGCATGGATGAGTTTTTCTGTTGAAACCCCACTGGCTTTATCATAACTCCTCTCACTTAACTCTGCTCTTCCCTCTAGGTCTGGATCAAGAAATAGAGATCGTCGAAGGTGAGTGCCCAGTTCTCCAATTCTCCCAAATGCCTGTGTGTGTTTATGTCTTAACTGCTGAGGTTTTTCCTGGGTCTCACAAATGGAGTTCACTCAGTGCCTCAGTCTCTTTGGTTTACTCCCTGAAAAAAATGGGAACTACAGCGTGGGCACCTCAGTGGTGCTGCTCGGCTTGGTGTCCCTCGTTGGGCTGTGCAGCCTGGTCAGGATGGGGTCTGTGTGCTCCACAGTGAGTCCAGGAATGTCCTTGGTGCCTCTTCCAATAAATAGGCCCTGATACACTTCCATAGTTTTAATGCCTGAAGTATCTGTTACATATGTAAATACCTCAGATGTGAAAATAACTGATTCAAGACTAAAACCCCCACATTTCTGGAAGAGTGTGTCTGAATGGTATGACAGCATTCTGTGTGATCATGGACCTGGAGATTTCCCTCTGGCATGCTTCTTGCTTTTAGAGCAGGTTGAAACCAACCTGCTTCTAAAGTGCAGGACTTTCACAAGGGAGACTGTCTTAGGGTTATGGGAATTTAAAATAAATAAACAGGCTACTTACTTTGGCCTCTTTTCTACCTTTTACACTTTGAGCGAGGCAGGGTTGTAAGCTCTGCCCTGGCCCTTGGCATGTGCTTATAATAGTGGTGGGAGCTTTTTATATAAAAAACTGCCCAGCAAACTGTCTTATCCCTTGGCACTGTGTTGGTGGGTGCAGGAGGAGGAGGGGTGGGCGCTGTGCTGTGGGTGTGGCAGGGATGTGGCTGGGGAGGAGCGAGTGCTGGTGCTCTGGCTATGGGTATATGAACGTCTGAGGGGTGGGCTCAGGTGTGCAGATCCCAGGCCTGAGCCAGGCTGTGTCCCCTGCAGGTCACGGTCCCGGGAGAGGCGGCGAAGGCGCTCCAGGTCGGCGTCCCGGGAACGGAGGAAGTCCCGCTCCCGGTCCAGGGACCGGCACCGGCGCCACCGGAGCCGCTCCCGCAGCCACAGCCGAGGGCACCGCCGGGGCTCCAGAGACAGGAGCTCCAAACACAAGTATGTATTCCCGGCAGGAGTGCTTCTGGAGAGGGGAGCCCTTGGCTCACAGACAGACTCCCCGTCCCGTGGCTCTCAGCAGCAGCTCAGGGGCCTGGGCCAGCTCCTGGGCCAGAGCAGGATTTCCCGGTGGCCTCACGTGAGGGCAGTAACTCTAAGGCAAGATCCCAACTGAGAGGAGAATCCAGCAGTAGAACTGGTTCCCTGATTGCAGTGCTGAGCCTTGAGACAATCCTGGTTTTCCTGTATGAGAAGCAGTACCAAGGTATTTCTGAGCTAACTGAGCCTCTCTGGGCCTGCAAAGCCAAGTGACTGAGAGGCAGTTTTGATGTTACATTTCTGTTCTTACCTTCTGCTTCCCAGATTCCTTCTCTCAGTGCTGGCATGGGGAGGGAAGTGTATGATCTGGGGTCTCAGGCAAGTCTGTTAGAAGGCTGCTTGAGAGAGAGAGAGACATAATTCTTTAGGAATCAGCACTAGAGGAGGGAAGAAGGAATCCAGGAGGAGTACACCATTCTCCTGTTGCTGAGGAGAAGCACTATAGTCCAAAGAAGGGCTTTAAGTCTCCTGTGAAACTCAGCAAAACAGCCTCTGTGTTGGAGGAAGGATGAGACAAGGGTGTAGGAGTGTTAGAAACATAGAATGGAATCACTGCATTTCCTTACAGCCCTTCTAGGCCCATCAGTAAGTCTATCTCCAGGTGCTTGCTGAAGTTAGATCTGGCTGGTTTTAAATACTCCTGGTTAATAGGGGAGTGCTTTAGCACTGTCTCACCTGATTAGGCCACTGGACTACAACTCCAGAAACAAACCTACTGCTGTGTGGCTTGTGTCAGTTGAGCTGAGGGGCAAGAACAGCTTTTAAAGGTGCCTGGTGAAGGGGAGGGAAATAATGGTCTGAAAAATAAGCCTGTTAATAATTGGGGGGGGATTAAATACTGTTAATTCTCCAATGGCTGAGATGCTAAAGTGCTTTTTTAAATCTTGTCTTGAACATGAAAGATAAAAGAAGTTTGGACAATTAGGAAGTGAGGAAGATCCTGTAATAACTTTGGTTACTTCAGAACCCTTGGTCATATCCAGACCAGCCCATCGAGGTTGCAGGGGGATTGGCACTGACACACTTGCACAAAATTGCTGAGAACTGGGGACAGGCCAGGATCAGTTTAAGAAAATACAGCAAATACAAGAGAACAAACTGGAAAACCCTGTTTCCTGAAAAAATTGTAGTTTCTGTTTTCACTGTGAGAATTTATGAAACCAGCCCTCAGGTTCTGCTGGTCTGAGGTGTCACTTGCAGAAAGAATGAGAGTGTGTCACAGGATCTGGAGGTCTCAGGGTTAGGAGGACTGCAGGCAGCAGGTGCTCTGGTGGGAACAGGTAGAGAGTTAATCTCATCAGAGTGATGTGTTTTGGTTAAATGACACAGTTTAATGAAAATGAAATGGCTCATGTGACACCAAAGGGCTGTTAAGGTTTTGATCTTTCAATTGTGAAGCATTTTCAAACCTTACAATCAACAAGAATGAAAGCTGGAACCTCTGAGGTACCTGCCAGGGCCTCCTCTTGTGACTGTAAAGAAAAACCTGTGTATTGAGCCTTGGAGTAAAATGTGGGAGCCTTTGCCAAGGGGGATGGGCTGTTAGAGCTCCCTCAGGATCGGCTCCCTTGGAATTCTGCTATTCCATAAGCTGGCACAAATCACACGAGACACAGCCTTTCAGACTGGACCTAATTAAGCCTCCTGCTTAGTTCTGTGTGGGCTGACACGGGGAGGAGCTGCTGAAAATGTGTAGCTGTCACTCGGGCAGGGCCATGAAAAGATGTACAGCATAAATCTGTGTCATCCTGATTCTGAACCCGGGGTGCTGCCAAGGCCAGCGTTTGTCAGGGTGCAAAATGAAAAGCCCAGGGCTGAGGGAGCGAAAGATCCAGTTGGTGTTTAAAGCAGGGGAACGGAAAGCTTAGGCCAAAATGAAAAACCGCTCTGGAAGGCACGGACAGAGCTGAGTCAGAGACGAGGAAAAAAATTGCAGGTGCTTTAGTGTGGCCCAGAAAACTAATAAGGGGCCCAGGGAAGACCTGAGAGAGCCCCTGGGGCCAGAGCTTGAAAGGATCCCTGTGAGGAAGGAGTGACAGAGGGTGCAGAGCCAGTGTTCCCTCATGGAAACCCCACAGAGCCCAGAGCTGCCACCGTGGGCACCCACAGGCACGTTCCTGTGCTGCCCCACAGCCCTGAGAGGGAAAGGTGGTGCCACTTTGTGGGTGCCAGACAGTTCTGAGCTGTGAAGCTGACAGAGATGGTTTCATTTGTGCTTCAGATCCTCCAGAGATCGGTCTTCGAGGGAAAAGTCCCGAGACAGAGAGAGGAAAGACAAGAGCTCTTCTGAGAGGCGGCACGAGAGCACAAACGGCAAATCTCGTTCCAAGAGGTCAGAAGAGAGAGAAGCTGGAGAGATCTGAACTCAAAAACGATCTGTGTTGCACTGTAAATAGTCTGATAAACATTCTACACAAAAGCCTAAATTTTCCCATTTATATTTACTGAATACAACTCATCTTTTGTAGTTTGGGGTTTTTATTGTTTGGCAGATAGCTGTGAGTTTGTAGAGAACACAAGAGTTACGTACTGTTTAACAGGGTTTTGTTTCAGTAGGAATAAATAAACCTGGATGGATGGTTTTGAGCCCAGGCCAGTGTGGGCACCCTGTGTTTGTCCTGACAGCAGCTGGGGCCGTGCTGTGCCTGGAGCCCTGAGCTGCCCTGACCTTTGTAACGCTTCAGCCCTTCCCAAAAGCCCTCCCTGACCCTCTGTGAGCACACCAGTAGTGCTGGTCCTCACTTTATTCTGTTTTTCCTTCTGTTTATATATGTCAAAAGAAAATCCTGATTTTTCTTTCTTTTTTTTTTTTTAATCCCTTTTAGTGCTTAGCAACCCCCTTTTTATGTCTCCAGCACCTGAGAGTTGCCTCAGTTGTCCAGCTGAGGCAAGGCAGGTGAAATTTGGCCCTGATTTATTCTGAAAGCTGTGAGGGTGACCAGATGGGCTCAGGTCTGGTTTTAGTCCCTTGACAGGTCAGACAGTGGGTGTAAGCAAAGCAGTGGGAGACCCGGGCTGGTTTCATCTGCCTGTTTACTGTGCACTCTGCAGCCAGAGCTTGCCCTGGGGGCCTGTGTGACCCGCAGCGCCGAGCTTTGGTGCTTTCCCGAGGCCAGGGAGCAGAAGGGGCGGGGGTGCCCCGGCTGGAGCTGTCCCAGCGCCCGGGTCTGTCCCCCCAGGGCAGGAAGGAGCCCGGCTGTGCCAGCCCCAGCCAGGCTCGGCGTTTTGTGGCAGTTGTGCGAGTGAAGCCCTTGTGTCCCGCCGAGCCGGGCGCTGCTCATCAGCCGGGCGGGGCGGTTAATTACAGCCCTTAATTACCGTTCCCGGGGCGTCCCCTCGACGCTGTGCGGGCCCGCCCGGCATTCCCCCTCCCCTCCTCCTCCTCCACACGCGGCTCCCCGGTGTCAGTCCCCCGTGCATGCCCCCCTCCCTCCCTCCCCCCGGGTCCGTTTTTACACCGAATTCCGCGGTTTCACGTGTTGTTTTTTTGTAACCTGCGCTCGCGGGGGGGGGGGGGGGGCAGGTGACGGGCGGCGGGCGCGCGCTCGGGGGTGCGCTGTGTACGCGCCTGCGGCTGTTGGCGCCGCGGTTCGATGGTGAGCGCATTAAAGCTGTGTGTTTGTGGCTCCCCCGCTGCTGCCCCGACTCGTTTGTTGTCGCGGGGGCCGCGCCGGCCCCGCCACCGCGGAACGGCCCCGCCGCGCCACGTCACTTCCGCCGGGCGGCGGCCATGGAGGCGGAAGTGACGGCGGCGGCGGCCGAGGGTGAGTGAGAGCGGGGCGGGGACGGGCCCGGGCACCGGGCGGGATGAGCCCCGGGATGGGGGGAGCACCGGGCGGGATGAGCCCCGGGATGGGGGGAGCACCGGGCGGGATGAGCCCCGGGATGAGGGGGGAGCACCGAGCCGCCCCTCCGGGCCAGGGCAGCTCCGGGCAGGCTGAGCCCCCGGGGTGGGGCAGCTCTCGCCGGGCCGGCGGGACCCCGCGGGTGTCAGTGACACAGGGGACCCCACGGCTGCCGGTGCCTCCAGGAGCCCCTGGCCCAGCCCTGGTGCCTTCCCCGCTGACCCGGAGGGGTTTCCAGCTCAAGAGGTTTTCCCAAAAGCGCAGTGAGAAGCCTTGGGACAGAACTTAGTCTCTGCTTCCCAAGCCCGGGCCCTGCCGAGGTCGTTTGACCCGTTTTCCCCGTGTTGGCGTCTGCGGGGGGTGCTTGTGCAGCACCTGGGGCTGTGCTTCAGTCCGACAGACACGAGAGACAGCTCGGCTCTGCGGGGCTCGGCACACCTGGAGCCTCCCCAGAGGGTTAAACTCCTGTTCCTCTCTCCCTCAGCACCCCGCGAGCCTGGGCTGCACAAAGCAAAATGCTATAGGTGTGTTCAACTCTCACCTCGTTTCCAGCGTTTTTCCCCTTTATTTTGTAAGGCAGGAGCCTCTTGCATAACTGCTGGGAGTGAGGGGGCAGCCTGGCCTGCAGTGGGGGGAGAACCAGCCTGGCCTGCACCAGGGCAGAACTGGGCCCTGTTGGAGGGGCTGTGGAGGCTCCCTGGGGATGGATATCAGGAGTAGGGGGGAATGGCTGGGAGTGAGCTTTGCTCTGTCTGAGTGCAAGAGAGGAAAGGGAAAATTCCATTTCTCGGTGGGGGAAAGAGGTTTATCTTGGAAGTGGTTGACAAGGACAACAGGGCTGGGAGAAGGATGTTGTTTCATAGAGTCACAGGCCAGTTTGGGTTGGGAGGGACCTTAAATACCATCCAGTCCACCCCCTGCCAGGGGCAGGGACACCTCCCACCAGCCCAGGTTGCTCCAAGCCCCGTCCAGCCTGGCCTTGGACACTTCCAGGGCTGGGGCAGCCACAGCTTCTCTGGGCAACCTGTGCCAGGGCCTCCCCACCCTCACAGGGAAGAAATGTCTCTGAGTGAGGTGGGAAGTCTCTTGGAGAGGTGGGGGTGTCTCTGGATGAGGTGGGGATGTCTCTGGCATGGGAGGTTCAAACACCTACCACCCTGGGGTCGTTTCAAGGGATTTGCAGCAGTCAGTGAGGGTGAGTGGCTTGGATCCAGTGGAGCTTCTAAGCCCTGGGACGATAAATGATTGGTGTTTGTGCAGCTCAGTTGTTGTTACTGGCCTGACCTGTAATCAGTTCCACGCAACTTTAATGCTGTTCTTCATCTGAAGAGTTTGATCTTCCCACTGCTCTCATGGAAGAAGCACTGGATCATGTTTTGCTCTTCCCTAAACTGAGTTTCTGTGTTTCTTACTCTGGTGAAAACTGCCCTGGGGAAGAGGAGTTCTCTCCTACAAATGCCAAGTGTATCCCATTCCTAGCTGGCTGTGCTCTGGAGGAATTTCTCATTCCCTTGCTGTGGGGGCTCTGCGGCACCTCCTGTGTCTGCAACCAGGTGTCATTTTGGAAGAGCCTGATGTTTGGAGGAGACCTGTGTTAACAGGGACAAAACAGCAAGAGTGAGGGGAGGGGAAAGGACAGTTCCAGCAGGAGAACCACAGAATTCCTGAATGCTTTGAGTTGCAAGGGACCTTAAAACTCATCCCTTTCCACCCCCTGCCATTGCAGGGACACCTTCCACTAGCCCAGGTTGCTCAGAGCTCCATCCAACCTGGCCTTGGAGACTTCCAGGGATGGGGCAGCCACAGCTTCTCTGGGCAACCTGTGCCAGGGCCTGCCCACCCTCTTTGGTGGGGTTTGGGTCCTTACAAAGGCTGCAGAGACACGACAGGAACAGAATCCCCTGGAGTCAGACGGTGCAGGTGACTCAGCAGAGCGATGAGCTCGAGTGCAGGGGGCACAGCCTGAGTGTCCTTGGGAAGGAAAATCTCGTATGGGGGAACCTTATGTGTTATTTCCTCTTGTCTGGACCCTGATCTAAGTGGGGCTGCAGGAAAGGGAAGGAATGACCCCAGACTGAGTGTCACAGCAGGTGACTGCCTGGCGAGTTGGCTGCAGTGCCACGCTGTGCATGGGATCAAAACCCAATCATTGGCCTGTGGAAAACAGCTGTGATGGGGATGTTGGTTCTTACTCAGAGCAAAACTTGGCTCTTCTGTCATTATTGATTGCAGCTTGGGGCTTACAGCAGCTTCAGGTTGACAGGAAGGGAACCTGCCAGGTGCTTGAAACAAACAAACAAACAGAGCAAAACCAGCCAAATGCTGTGTTTGTGTTCCTAAAATGGCCAGTCAGAATTTCTTCATTCTGTGGAAGACAGAAACGTGTTGAATATCAAATGTAAGTTAGGATATAGTGCTAGGAGTTTTCCAGGAAGAACTGCTGCCTGGTGACATTACAAATGCTGTGGTTTGGTGTTTTACGGGTGGAAAATGAGTTCAACCTTCCATCACACTGATTCTTCAATGGTTTCTGTCACCAGCCTTCACCCACCTGACCGTGTGTGGTTCTCTGTGCTCGTCAGGCACTTCTGCCTGACTGGTCATGGTGGTTTAGCTGCACAAGTGTCACTGGTCTGGTTCAGATCAGATCTGTAAATCTGTGCTGTGGCTTCAGCAGAAGAGGTTGGTCGGTCCCCCATAAAGGTGAGTAAAGCTGTGTTTGTCCCGAGCACAGTGGTGTTACTGTGGGACAGGAAAGGGTGTTTATTCCCCTCAGCTTTGGCCAGGGTTTGCTCCTAGCTCATGCCATGGCTGGGATAATCAGCCTTTAGAGTTTGTGGAGGGGCTGGAGCGCTGTCTGAGATGCAGGTCCTGGCTGTGCTCCCTCGGTTCGGTTCAGGTCTGTCACGCGTGCTTTCTAAATATTTCCTTTTCTGCCAAAGTCTTTCTGCCACAAGGGAGCTGGTGCTGGCTGTGAGATCTGCATGTGGGGTGTGTGATCCTGTCACTGCCCGTTCCCCCGCGAGGTTAAACCTCCCGAGGAGTTATTTTATGTCCTTTTATCAGCGAGGAGGGGGAGACAAAATGTCGGCTGCTGGAGGGCAGTGAAACCATCTCAAATGCACACTATCATTTTCTGCTTGTCTTCAATTAAACTGATTACCAGAGCTCTTTGTTGCTCGGCGCTCAGGCCGTTCCACGGGCCGCCAGCGTGTACTTTGGCAGCGACGGGCGATGGGATTTCCTGCATTGTTTGAATCTCTGCCACTGACCTTCGTGGTCCTTGTTCTGGCACCGCCTCTGCTCTGGCAGGGGTGCAAAGGGCATTATTGAAACCCTGAAAGGAAAGGGAGAGAATTGCTTTAAAGGCGTTGAGGGCTCTTTGTACTCAGTGGCTCCTGAGGTCATTGCTGCAAAAGGAGGGGAATTGCTGGGGTTTTGGGATAATTACTGCTTTTTTCATTGTTCTCATCCCACTCTAGATGACAATGGTGTGATCTGTAGTGAGTCATAAAAATAGGCCTTCCATGCAGCCTTAAGCTGGTGTCCCTTTTGGCTGAGGGGGGAGAAGCCTGGTTTTCATTCCTCTTGGGAAGTCTCGTGGGTGCTGGAAGTGCTCAGCTGTGCCCTGGGGCTTTCCCAGTTCCATACTGGGGGAGCTCTGCTGGAGAGGCCAGCAGGGTTGTGCTGGAGCCCTGTTGCAGCCCGTGCTGTGGGCACTGGTTTTGAGAAGATCCACCTGGAGGGACACCCAGAGGGACACGAGCCATCTGCCTCATCCCACGGGAGGCCACGGAACCCACTCCTGCCTCTGCCCCCATCGCTGCGGCCGTGGCTGCTCTGTGATGGTAAATCATTTGCTCAGCCTCCGCCTGGAGCCTTGTACCTTGAACCTGCTGAAGGTCTGGTGCAGGAACAGAGCTGTGCTCAGCTCTCCACAGGCTGATTGCGTGGCTCTGCGTTCTTCCCCTTTCCATCTGGAGCCTTCCTGCCCCTGTCAGGTGCCTGCAGTTGGTCTGGAAGCAGCCTCGTGAAGGTGTCCCTCGTGTGGCTGGTGCTGATGAGAAGGGCAGATCTTTGGAATAAGCTACAACTTCTGCATTATTGATTCATCTGCATGGTATTGTGCAGGTTGGATTAAATTATCTGTAGCGTGAGCCTGTACCTGATGTCATGGAATAAATGCCAGAGTGCTCGGGTTGGAGTAAGTGCTTTGCAGCTCTGGCCTTATGAGTCCAGCAGGCTCTGGGGTTTGTTAAAGGATTGACAGTGGTGCCAAGCTGTCCCGCTGATCCTGTACCTCACCCCCTGCATACCCAGAAGAGAAGAGGCCGCTGTGTGGGACAGGGACAACCTGGGGAGCCGCAGCTGCCTGAAGGAGCTTGGCCTCCCAGGGTGACTCATCTTGTGTTTCACTGGACCTGTAAATGAACTCGGGCACGAAACGTGAGATGCAACAAGCCCAGTTGCTGTTGGAGCTGAAAGCCCAGGCTCTCTGTGCTATGTTAGTGCTGAGTTTAAGCTCTTCTCTGCTGGGGAAGTAAAAGGCTCCAGTGGACAATCCAGGCACGTGACTGCTGGGCACGGTCATGGAAAATTGGCTCGCTTGTCGTGTTTATTTGCTCTGATATAACTTTTCATAACACCGTCATGCAGCTTTTTCCGAGCCCACTGGAATGTGTTATTCTTTATTTCTTCCCTTCTGCTGTTTTTTTGAAGAAGCTCTGTCAGAGAATCTGTGTGTAACATTGATTTTTATTGTTGTTGTGGGTAATGAGGTACAGCCTTCTCCAACAGGCCAACGCTCTTTTTTTCCCCCTTTTTATAGCAAATTAGCACAGAACCCCTCTGTTTCTTGTAACTGTAGCTCAAGATTATGATTTATAGCAGGAGAAACTAAAATAGCAGTTGTTAGCTCTTCCAGTCTGATGAAATCAAATTTGCCTGACTTTAGTCTCAACTCCAGCCTTGTTTTTTCCCCGGGGAGGGAAGTCATCGCTCTCTTGCCTTCTGCAGGGCTGGGTTGCTGAACTTATCCAGTGTTTTCTCATCTGAGAAGCTACTGAATAGCTTTGGTTTGCTCCTATACAGAATATGCTGATGTTTGTTTCCCTCTCTCTCTCCCCTGGAGCAGCTCAAGTGCACTTTACAGTAGGGAACAGCCTTATGGGGGGATAGAAAGGTCACAAGTGTTTCCTTTCACCGCTCCAGCCGGGAGTCAGGCTGGCACGCATGGGAGGTGGCGTGAAGTCTTTGCAGCAAAAGGAGCTTTTGGGGTGTTTTTCTGGAGGGGGACCTATAGACCAGTCAGTCCTTTCTGCGTGGGGTCTGTAGCCTCCTTTGTCCGGCTCTGGCACAGCTGATTCCCTCCTCTGAAGAAGAATTAGTGCTATTCCTGCATCCCGCAGTCTCATTGCTCCGTGTGGGAGACCTCCAGCACCAGCAGCTCTGTGACAATACACTGGTTTGCTCACCTCCCAGTACAGGTTTCCAGCGTGACTATCAGGTAGTAACAAGAACATTTTAATGAATTTTTTTTTTTTAAATACATTCCAAAAATTATTTTAACTTCTCTGTCCACCGTTGCAGGGGCGAAGGGGGGGAGAAGGCTGTCTGAATACCCATGAATGAGCTGTGATGGATAACAAAGATTCAGAAGCTGAGATCCACCCTCTGAAGACTGAGGATGCCAAAGCTCAGGAGAACCACGAGAACTCCGTGGAGAGGAGGATCATCAGCAAGCAGACGGCGGGGCTGTCCCGGCTGTCCCGCTGGCGCACGGCCGCCTTCTTCGTCTCCCTGTTCCTCTGCCTGGTCATTGTCTTTGCTTTCTCCTTCATCATCCCTTGCCCAGAGAGACCAGTGTCAGAGAGAACGTGGTTCCAAAGCTACAACAACGCGGGTGAGTTTTCTGTGGCACAGTAAATACTTAACCAAGAGTCCTTTTGCTTTCCGTGCCGCGAATTTGGGTTGTTGGACCTCCACCTAAGCACGACGTGGAGCCAGACCTGCAGGAGTGCTGCCCTTGGGAGCCTGAGCTCTGAATACCTGACCTGGATAAGCAGTGGCCTGGCATAATTGGAGTGGCCTTCCAGGAGGTGTTTACAGGAGCTAGTGGAGAAATTAGATGCTGCTCTGAAGCACTGACAGAGGTAGCAGGCTGGCCTCATTTGTTAAAAAAAAAAAAAAATGGGGAAGGGTATCTGGGAATGAATCTCTGTTGAAGTTTGCTCTGTAAAAATGTTCCCTTGGAGTTTGAGTTGAAGTTGGAGACAATTAGGCATTTTTTTTCCTCTGTTGCTATGACTTTCTCCCTTTTCCCCACGACCAACAGGAAAGAGGAGAAGAAGAATTCCATCTTGTTGTTTTTGTAAATTGCCTTATAGCTGCTATAGCTATTTTTATTCTAGTTGCTTTGGTTGGCTCTTCAGCCTTGGTCCTGCTCCCCAGTGGCTCAGCACTGGCTTCTGGGAGAGCTGTTCTTTAATCTTGTGTGCAGGATGTTCTGGAAATGCAGAGACAGTGCTCTCAGCAGGGACTGAGCTGTGTGTGGTGCTGCAGACATCCCAGGTGCTGCTGCTCTGAGCTCAGGAGAGCTGCTTTTAGCTGAGGGGGAGAAAGATGGAATATCTGGGTTTTCTGGGTGGGGTTTTTTATGCTTCAAGAATAGCAACCCCACACCAAGACCAGAGCTGTTCTTGGTTCAGTGTGGTTCGAATTCTGGCTGCTTGGCTATAAAAATAGACAAATCCACGGGGGGATAGCAAATTTAAGAAATCCTTTGGCAATAACTTCCTGTCCTTGGTGCTCGTGTACGTGGCATTTTTTTAATACAAAATCCAATTTGTCCTAGTGTTACATTGCCCAACATGGAGGCAGTGAGTAGGTCTCTAGGAATTTGTGTTTTGCTCTAGCCAGCTCTGCTGTGGGCTGAGGAAATGCTCACCAGAGCCTGGCTCGTGGTCTCTTACAGTGGCCTACCGGTTCCTTGCTTTGGAAGATGTGAACGAAGACAAAGTGCAAGACGTCCTCTTTGTTTTCAAAGCCAGCAACGGCAGCAGCAGCTTCAACAGCTCCTGCCTGGATGAAGGTAGCTGATTCAGGGGCAGAAAGCCTTGTAGGGAGGGCTGCCCTGTCTCTTTTAGTTCTAAATAGTGAGAGCCTGGGAGATAAAACTGGGTGAGCTGGGTGGGGAGAGGAGCTGGGTGAGTCCCAGCCCCCGGGGGCAGGTGCGGGGCAGCAAAGGTGGTGCAGGTAGAGCTCCCTCTGACATCTCTTCTCCTCAGGGCTGCCTTCTCCCTGTGCCTTCGTTGCTGCCGTGTCCGGCACGAACGGCAGGGCTCTCTGGGAGAGTCCTGCAGCCCAGGATGTGGAGTGGATGGAGTGTGGCATCCAGCAGCTCGGCGGGGCGGGGGCCCCGGGGTGCCTGGTGGTGGGCAAGCCAGTGGCCCTGACAGCCCTTGACCTGCGGACAGGTGAGTGTGGGCAGGCTCCTGCTGCCAGCCAGGGGACAGGGCCCTGGCAGTGTGACATGACAGGTACATGAACAGAGGCCACTGAGTGTTTAATGACTTGAAAACCTCGCCAGAGCTGCTTGCTGGGTGTGGAGGAGCTCTCCCAGCCTCGCCGTTCCAAAGGTTGGGCTCTGTGCTGGGGGTTTGTGCCAACCAGTGTTTCATAAGACCAGCCTTCCAACAGCTTTCTAAGCAGGAGGAGCAGTCAGTAGCTGTGAATGTTGCTTTACACTCTCAGGGGCTGGACACACACCTGCACCTGCAGCCCTTCCCAGTTATTTGCGTGTGCGTACCAGAACCGCCTGCAGTGGGAAGAGGAGAGGGAGTTACAGGGGTTTATGATTTTCAAGTCATCAAGGAGAGCACTTAGATAAGTACTTGCCAGCCTGTGTCAGCAGTCCAGGGTTTTACCTGGAAAGGTTACTTCCTTTCTGAGCCCTGAGATGGAGAAATTCCTCATCATCTTGCCCAACACGGGGTGGTGTAAGTGCCTGTACTGCTCTAGGAACAAGGATCCTCTGCTCTGCACCTTGAACCTTCCTTGCTGATGAAGCCTAAAATACATTTCCATTTTGGGGATCACTGTTTCAAAGGTCTGAACAGTGCATGTTCTCCCTCGGATCCCATTTTCTGCTTCTGGTATTGAAACCCTCACAGCCTGTTCTCCAAAAATTGTGAGAGAGAAAAAGCAAGAGGTACAACTCTAAAGAACCTGAGGAAAATCTAGAGTGGCTTTTAATTTCCAGTGTAGATGGAAGTGTAGGTGCACACAGCTAGAAAGTTTCTGTACCAATGGAGATGTCATAGCACTGTTTCTCTCATGTGTAGGCCTTAGCACAGGTTATTTTTAGACTATTAATGAAGTAATTGCTTTCAGGTCAAAGTGGAGAGGGTTGGCTGCTGAGCCAAAGGCATGGAACTAAAGACAGCCATAAAGAAGCAGCACAAGCACGGAGAGAAGGAGCCAGGCTAAGCTACAGGTCACAGCAATACAGTGAAGAAAACATTCCATAGATAACTTAAAAGCAAGAGAGGAAAAAATGCTTCAGATAGAGAGGTGGATAACCCAGGAGTTTACGTATTTGATGCCTTTTTGCTGTTAAGTAGGTTAAAAGCAGTTTCTGAGCGTGGTTGACTTTTACTGGGGGTTAGGAGGGCAGAGTAGAATAAAATGTATTTAAATAGGCTAAATGTATTCAAAGAGGCAGAGTCTGACTTACATCACTGTGTGCTAAAAACAGTAGCCAGCACAATCTTTAGCTGTTAATGATTCATCATCGTGGAGGATTTGATGAGATTCCAGGGCTCTCAGGCTGTCTAGCCCCTGCCTTAGGAAGATTGAAGTAGAGATAGGCAGATTATCATCTGAAAGTGTCTGATGTGGTTTTGATCATTAAATGCTGATAAAGTTAGTGTTCTTCTGTCAATTCAAGTTGTGTTAAGCCCTGCTTTCTTCATTGCCAGAAGAAGTGACCTGAGCAAACAAGAAGGGAAGTGTAGGAGTGCAAGCTGCTGTTTGTGTGGGATGTCTAACATTCCTGCATGTTTATCTTGCCAGCAAACTGGGACACAAAAGCTTAAGATTAACTGTTCCAGGTCAAAGCAAAAGTCTTTGTAGCTGTGTATTCCCTCTCTGCCAGGGCCAGGAGCAGAGTCTTGAGGAAGAGGATGGGAGTGAGTGTTTTGTTTCACCTTCTCTCTTCACCTGATTCTCCCGCAGCCTGCACTGTGAGCCCTGTGGTGAGCTGCTGTAAAAGCAGTGTGTTGCAGTTTTTACTGCAAGAGTAAAAACTGCAGTCTTTAGTTTACAGTGTTTACCTTGTTGCAGTAAAAGCTTTGGTTAGCTCTGGTCTCCTGAGGGACGTGGCAGAAAAAGCAGCACGATGATCAGATGTGTGGAATTGCTTCTGTGTGAGGAATCACAGAACTCCAGCCTGGAGAATGTCTGTCAGGGAGAAAAGTCTCTGTGTCCTTGCAGCTGCTTGAAGTGAGAGCTGAACTCAGTTCATCTAAGTTCCAATTTTATTACTCCTTCCAGACAAAAACAACCCCAGCCCTTTCACCCAGGTTAGATTTGCAGTCTAGGCACTTGTCTAATTTCCATCTTGGCTTCTCTTGCTGTGCCTCTGCTGTGACCCCGGGCTCTGAGGAAGCACCACGGCACTCAAAGTGTCAGACAGGATTGTCCCTTCTCCCGGTGATGGAGCAGGAGGGGACTGGTTTCACAGTCCCTGCTCTTTGGGGGTTGGATTAGAGCATTAAAAGCTTCTCAAGTGCTTGGAGCTGAATCTGTCTCACTGCTCCCTGTTTCTGTTAAGTCAGACTGTTCTTTTAAGAGGCTGAGATGCTTTCTCCCAAACTGCTTTCTGACCAACAGAAATTAGAGCTTTATGCATTAGCAGGTGAATTCCATCAGCCTGGTCTGTCTTTGGTACCTCTGGACTGTGCTGAATCTGGGATGTTGTAAATTAAAACTTCAGTTCTCTCCTTCTTCTGACTGCTTGGTGTCTTCAGGGGCAAAATTCTTTGCCTTCCCACGATTTCCTAGGAAATCTGCTCTCTTCTACTTCACATCTGTTGTCATAGCAACAAATCCAAGTGGGTTTTTTGTGTGTTGCATTAAAAGCTTTGGAGGAATCCTACTGGAAATACATCCTGCCTTGAATTATTGCAGACAGCTTCAGGTAGTAATTCCTTGGCCTTCAGTCCAGCTGCCTTCCCCACGAAGAGCAGATGGTTACTTTGCATTCCTGACATGATAATTGCTGTGCAAAGGGAGGGTCAGCATTTCCCCTCTGGGCACCTTGTAAGACACTGGAGTGTTCCTTAAAACCCCCCCAGCAGTGTCCTCCCCACCAGATTCCACTGGAGATTCCACTGGGCAATGACTGGAAAGTGGCCAACAGCCTCGGACAGAGTGGATGGAGTGGAGCCACTCAACTGTTCTGGAGCTGTTGAAGAGAAACCTACCCCCCACTCCCCATTTTTTAAAAAAACCCAAAGCTTTTCTACCTCAGTTTACAAACAAGTTTGTGTTCTTCAAATGGGGGAGAGGTGGGATGTGGCCTGAGACCTGGCTGGTCATGGAACAGCTGCAGGAGGCAAGTTGCAGCAAAAAAGGTTTTGCCAGGAAGAGATGCAACACTGTGGTCAGAATTCAGCTGCTTTATGGTCTAAAAAATATCTGTGCAGATTTAGGTGCAGAGCAGCAGGGATTTAGATCCCAGCAAAGGATTCTCCGTGCCGTGAACGTGCTGGGAAGCTTGTCAGTCTGAGGCACAAGGAAAGCAAGCTGTTCTTTGTGCCAGGGGTTTGGGTGCATTCCTGCAGGCAGGTAGGGTTACTTTCCAGTGGAAGATGAAATTGTGGATGCTGGGATTCATTGGGAATGCAGAAATGCAAGGAAGTACCCCATGATGAGCATAAATGTGGCTGGTTGGTGGTGCTGTTGGGCTGGAACAGGAGCATTCAACCTAAAGTGCCTCTCAGTGACTGTTTCACACTGTCTTCTAGGGGAGGTTCAGTGGAGACAGTCCAGTGACTTTGGAGCTAATTACACTCTGCTGACTCCTGTGTCAGTGATCCCAGATGTGGATAATGATGGAGTGCAGGACCTGCTAATCTTTATTGCTACAGGAAAGAAGGTATGTCCCCCTGAAGCTCTGATAACCCCAGTGGCTGGACCACAGGGCATGGCAGGAGCGCTGTTTATTTCCACCTTGTGGTCTAACAGGAAGTGTCCAGGAGCCTCTGATTTCTGTGGGTTTGGGGTGGGTTCTTTCTCACCCTCCAGAGATATACTTGCAAATCGATGCAAGTGTTTTATGGTTTAAAAAAATAAAATAAATCAAAGAACTGGCCAGGAATCCCTCCCCCTGTTCAGTCTGCTCTCCTCACTGTGTGTTCCTGGGCTGCCTGTGGAGAGAGCCTGGGCAAGATGAGCTTGCAGTTTTCTGCTTCTCTGCCCAGAGAAGTGGAAGTGAACAAACCCTGACAGCTTTGGCTCTTAGATCAAAGCACAGCTGACAGACAGTGCTTTTGTACCACCGCTGCCCTTTTCTGATCCCTCCCCTCTCTGTGCCTGTGGTCTGCTTTTGCACTGCTCTCTTGCCAGTGTCACTGTGCTGGTTAATTCTGACCTGGGTTCATTCAGTGAAAGAGCTGCTGGTTCTGTTATCTCTGTCCCCAACATTGCTTTTCCCGTTTCTGAGAGGGGGAAAGTCGTGTAGCTGGGACTGTTTCTGTACCAAAATATCTGCGTCTGTGATTGAGTGGCACAGCATTGTCTGCATGCCCCGTCTGTCCTGTTCAAAGCACACAAGTTACAGTCTCATGGGAGCAGTGGGAGCCCCATGTCCTCATACCAGAGTCACAGAATCACAGATGGAAAAGACCTCCAAGGTCACCAAGTCCACCCTGTGCCCCATCCCTGCCTTGTCCCCCAGTCCACTGAGTGCCACGTCCAGTCATTTCTCGGCCACCTCCAGGGATGGGGACTCCACCACCTCCCTGGGCAGCCCCTCCCAATGTGTAACAACTCTTTCAGTGAAGAAATTCCTCCTAATAGCCTGGACCTCCCCTGGCACAGCTTGAGGCCATTTCCTCTCATCCTGTCCCTAGTTCCCTGGGAGCAGAGCCCACCCCCAGCTCCCCCCTCCTGTCAGGGAGTTGTAGAGAGTAGAGGGATCACTCCTGAGCCTCCTTTTCTCCAGGCTGAGCACCCCCCCTCCACTCCCTCAGCCACTCCAGGTGCTCCAGCCCCTTCCAGCACCGCTCCCTCTTCTGGACATGCTCCAGCTTCTTGTTATGGGGGGCTCACAACTGGACACAGGACTGGAGGTGTGACCTCAGCAGTGCTGAGCACAGGGGACTGTCACTGCCCTGGTCTTGCTGACCACACTGGGGCTGGTACAAGCCAGGTGCCATTGGCCTTCTTGGCCAATGTCTTCCATAAGAAAATAGGGTTTTGCTGTCTGAGGCATTGTTGTTGCCAGAGTCATCAGAAATTCTATCCTCTCTGACTCCTACGGTTCTCTTCTGTTTCCTTTCCTCCTTGCTTTTGCTATCTCAGTTATCTCAAGACTTTTGTTTTTTTTAATCTTAACCAGCCAAGAAATGTTTGAATGTAGCCTCTGTTCTGCAAGACTGCCTTTTGATCTGTTTTCTATTTAAACTCTCTAGCTATCTTGGTATGAAATCCCTTCCTCCCTCCGGACTTGGCAAGCATTCTGTCAACTTAAGGGAAAGTATGTTCTTTTTTGAGAAATCACACAAACTGTAGGGAGCTTGAGTGAAGCTGTGCAGCTTGGAAAGGGCAGCCTGGTCAGAAGAGAGATTCAGAACCCAAGTGAAGGAGCTTTGCTGCTATCAAGGGCTGAAGCTGAACGTTCCTGAAAGGGCAGAGCTGTGAGCAATCCGTGGGGAAGGGTCTGTGTGCAGGGGGTTTGGATGGCAGCTTTTTCAGACAGCCTCATTGACCCCCTATCTGCTGCAAACTTCAGCACCAGTACATCCTGGAAAATCCAGTTTTCAGGATCTCCATCACCTCTGGCAGCACACAGAGGGGTTGGGCAGTGCAGGGGTGAGGTGGTGTGTGTTCTCTCTCCATGTGTGAGCACATTTGGCTGTCACTCTGCCAAGGCAGCTGCTGGACCAGTGCTTGCCAGTAAAGGTGATCCTGGTCTACGAGAGCTGGTTTGTGTCTCCTCCCAGTGCAGGAGGCTGGGAACAGCTGCTCTCTCTCTCCAGTTGTGTTCTCATTCTCCTCAGCAAACTTTATCCCTTCATTCACCTGCCAGACTCTCCAGATTCACTTCAGGAGCAGCAGATTTCCTTCACTTCCCCAGTGCATCCCTTTCAAGGAAGAGGGAAGGGTTCCTGCCTGACTCAGCATCTCTGTGGATGCTGTTTCTCTGAGTCTGATGGTTCTCTTTTCCCTAATGTGCATTGCTCTCCCCAGACTGAGCCTGTTGCCCAGATCACATTTGAATCTGATCCCGATTTTAACCTTTATTCCCCTGGGTGAAATGTTTTTAGTGGATTCTGTTACCCTGCACGAAGAATAGAAAGAGAAAGAAACCTATCAGCTCTTTTATCCCCTTGGACTTTACATCAGCCTTAAGAGAAGTAGATTAGGGCACTTAAAACATTTAGCAGAGCTGCCATGTGAAGCCAAGTTTCCCCTGTGCCCATATGGTGCTTTGTTTCTGCCTTTAGCTCCTCTCTCTCGTTGTCCCTGCTCAGTAGGCTCTGAATGGATCTTCACTGTCCCTGCCAGAGCTGAGGCTGCTGTTCAGCAGTCCTTGCTTGTCTGCAGGGAAGGTGGGTGGCAGAGGCAGCAAAATCTCAGGGTAAAGTGGCTGTGCTGGAATTGGCTTTCAAACCTGCAAAATTATTTACAGCAGAGGGGTCACCAAACTCATGCCCACTCCTCCAAAACCAGGCAGAGACTTCCTGTCCCAGCCTGTGCTGCTCCCATTGAGCTGCTGTTCAGTATCAGTTTTAACCTTGTTGGGTTTTTTTGTTTGTTTTTGTTTTTTTTTTTTTTAATCCCTTCCCTGTGTAGATTAAGAGCTTCATCCATTCAGGAAAGAATGGCCAACAGATTGGCTCCACTGGCAGCCTGGCCGTGGATGGGAGCGCTCGCTACATCAGGCTGAACCTGGGCTCCTCCCTCTACTTCCTTTTCTACACAGGTACAGTTCTGCCTGGGAATTCAGTCTGGAAGAGTGATTGTAACTGTGGAATCAGGATTGCTAAACATTTTTTTGGCTGAGAGAGTGGTTTGCATTCCTAAAAGCCATGTGGTGGCTTCACCTGGCCAGAGAGCTGTTCAGGGCCAAGAGAAGGGAGGGCTTCTGCTTAAAGTGTGGTTTGTTATGTACTGTAGTGGTTTTATTTAACAAATGTCAGGCATGTAAGGATTAAGCAGTCATTTATAGCAAATGATTACTGTGGAGCACTTGGATTACGAACAGATAAGATGTTGAAAGCATTCAATAGCAGGCTTGAATCTCGAAATACCACTACAACTCTATGATGCAAGCCCTAAAAATATAGTTTATCTGCCAGATCTGGAAAATCATAGAGTTCAGAGCAAGGGCAGGATAACTTACCTCATTCTTGCATTCTTTTTTTTTTTTTTTTCTTTGCACAGAAAACTCTCTCTATGCATATTCCCTGAAAGATCTGTACAGTGCAGCAACTGGGATGGAAAGAAAGCTTTCCAGCCTCCAGCAGGATCCTCAGTGGGAGAAGAACATTGACAGCACCACGCACCGCTTGTCCCTTCTCAGGTGGGAGGTTGTGTCTTGGGGGCTGGTGGAGTTGGAGGGTGCTGGTGTTGCTGTCAGGGTGGGCTGCTGGGGCTTTGTTCTCTCCTGGCTACATGGCTTTTGGACTAGGAGCACATCCAAAGCTCAGGAAGAGGATTGGTGTTAATGGCCTTGTCGAGGCTTTGCAGAAAAATGGGGAAGGCAGGTTGGGGTTTCCTGTATGCGTTTACTGTGCAAGGAAAAACCCAAAACCTCACAAGAAAGCTTAATGATTTCTCTGTCCTTGTTCAGCTCTGGAGACTTTCGCTACCTGGCAAAAATTCCTGGGCAGTCACGGGAGAACATCTTGGTTATAGGCTCAGACATGGCCACGCTGATCAATGGAAAGAATCTCCAGACTTTGTGGACCCTCAATGTGTCCCGTGCTTTGAGGTACTGTTCCCACTGTGGGCTGGATGTGGCATTTCCAGGCTCCCAGCAACAGCAGTGTCCTGGCAGATGCTGATTTTGTTTGCCTGTGGTCATATCTGTGTCGTGCTTATTGTGCCGTGTGCCCTCTGCTACCAAATGTCAGGGGCTGCTTCAGAATGGAGGAGCCCAAAGCTCTGATCCCTCATTCTGTGCCTGCTGTGACGTGGCTGGGCTCAGGGTTGGGGTGGTACCAGGCTGACCCAACCTTGTAGCAGTCGAGTCTCTTACCAGGGCAGCTGTGGGAGGATGGAGGCTGCTTGGAAAGAGCAAGCTGTGCCCAAGCCATCGGGGTGGGTTCTGATCTCTCCCTTCTCTTTCTCCCCCTCAGTGAGCCACTGCTCGGTTACTACAAACCTGATGTTCTTGGTGTTCTCCTGGAGAGTGAAATTGGACCCAACAAGAAGAAGGTTTGAAATCTCTTCCTTTTAACTTCACTTTTCTCTGTATTTCACAGCTCAGGCAGGCATTGAGTCGAGGACAGCTGGTGGGATGTGTTCCCTCTGGCTGATTTTAGGAGGCTTTAAGCTAGGAAAGGATCTCTTTCAACAGGTTATTGAAGCCATCTCAGGCACTTTAATTCTCTTCTCAGCAAGAGGCTTCAATGACAGAACTCTGAACCCCTTGAAATAGCTGCAAAACTTGTGACTTGAACATGGCCCTCCCCAGCTCTCACAGCCCTGTGATGCTCCACTTCAAGTATTTCCTCATCTTCCCATCTGTCAGATACTTGTTCCCATAGACAGCGTGGGGAGAGACAGCTGACCTGACTTGTCTCTCGTGGTTTGTTAGATCCCTTTGTTACGAGTTCCTTTCCTTTCTTCCCTGCCAGGTGATGATTGTTGAGAGTGCATCTGGAGCAGTCCAGTGGGACCTGACTCTGAACTCGGGAGCAGAGAGTCCTGGGCCAGCCACGCTTTCCACTGCGGATCACCGGTCCACCTTCCTCATCTGGGGGGACTACGAGGAGCCAGGCAACGAGACAGTGAGTGCTGCTGCTGAGGGGCTGCTGTGCCCCAGACTTAGGGCCAGGATTGGGTGGAGCTACTCCCTTCTCCCCGATGGCATTCTCATCTGTCTGTGCCACTGACACCCGCACTGGGTGTGGGGTCTCTGCTGGAAGCAGCCGGAGCCCTGTGTGTGACCTGGTCTCTGCTGGGTCCTCACAATGTCCATAGCAGTGTCCCTGCTAGCAGGTGGTGGCACCAACAGCTTTTGTCATCCTCAGGCTGGTTATGTAGAGAAAAGGAACCCGGTGGCTCTATGAGCAAAGTCCCTGGGTGCCCAGAGCGCTGCCTTGGTGTGGCACTGTGAGTGAGGTGAGAGGCTGCTGCCCTGCTACTTTTGGAGTTGCTGCTGCTTCTCTGGGAGCCTCCCATGACAGCACGGCATGCAGTGATCTCCCGTGGCCATGTGAATATCCTCTCTCTGCCCCAGGCAGCCTCGGCAGCCTCAGTGCACAGCTCAGCTGCTGCAGAGCCCTCCGGGGCAGTGACAGGCAGTGTTGCTGACAGGTTGTGTCTCAGAGCGTGCTGAAGCACAGCTGAGCCTCCTCTGCTTTCCTCACTCACTCTGCCAGCCCTGAGGTAAAAATCTGTCTCCTGCCTGCAGCAGGCAGGCCAGCTATTTTCAGGAAGCTTGGGGTGAGGAAGAGAGCACTGAGCAGAAAGCAAAATCCCAGCACTAGTCCTGGTGACATCAGTCACGATGAGTTGGGCTGACATGGACAAGTGTCTGACTGGATGAATCCAGCCCAGCATGAGCAATAGCCGAGCCAGGTGCTGGTGTTGTCTCTGGAATAACGTGTGGGTGCCCTGATTGTGTCCTGTTGGTTGCAGAGATCCACAGCTCCCCTCCAGAAGCTCTACCTTTTCCACCCTTCCTACAATAACATCCTCTTGGAGCTCCGCAATAACACAGACCAAGTAATTGCGTTCAGTGGTAAGTCCTCTCCTTCCAGCCCTCCAGCAGGGAGCTGCAGGAGGACACTGGTCCCTCCTGACCTCTCTGGGTGTGTGGTGTTGGGTCTGGTGGCCGGTCCGAGCACGGAGACCTCAGGCTGGGCTTTCCCTGTGCGTTGCAGCCGCGCTGTTCGAGCGGAGCCGTCACGCCTGCTACGTCCTGCTGAGGGGCCCCCAGCCCAGCCAGGAGCCAGGGCCCGTGTCACTGATGAAGAGGAAGCTGAAGGAGGACGTGTCAGAGAGCAAAGTGATCCGGCTGAGCCAGGTGGCCGTGGACAGCGAGCAGTACATCCGGAACCGCCTCTACAGGATGCGATTCCACAGCCGAGAGTGAGCCTGCCCGGGAAGGGGGAGAGGCTGCTCGGGGCCAGGCGTCTCCAGGCTGCCTCTGCTCTGCAGCCGTGCTCTCAACAAGCCCAGATCACGGAATCAGATGGGAAGCTGCCTTTCTCGACCTGCAAACCAAAGCGTGGCTGGCAGGGAAGCACCCCCAGTGTCTGGGGACACCCAGGCTGTGGGGGCAGCTGCCGGTGCATCCATCCTCAGAGCTGATGGGACTTCAGTGCTTGGCCACCACTGAGGTGTCGTCAGCTCAGGGAAGAGGGCTCTGCCCTCCGTCCCTCTGTGCCCACAGAACTGTGCTGACTCAGGAGTGTGTCTGGAGGAAAACATGTGCTTGCTGGGGATGCCGGAGTGGATGATTTCTGGGGTGTTTGGAGCTCGATGTGTGGTGTTAGGTTTCCTTTCTGAGTCAGCTCTCCTGGCTGGGGGAGAGGTGCTTGGCTGCAGGTTGGTTTGCAATCACCCTCTCCTGGATTTAGGGCCTGCTTCAGTGGTGGTGGGGTGTGTGTAGTGCCCGACCCTGGCTGTGCCTGTCCGTGGGGCTGGGGGTCACCTGGGCCAGCAGAGCGCAGGTTAAAGTGTTGTTCTACTTAGAAAATGGCCTTTTCTCCTAAGAACAGCCCCACATGCCCTACTCTGCAGTCACCAGCCTGCCTGTGTCTGTCTCCTCTGCTGCTTCCCTCCCAACCAGGCTGTGCAGTGTTGGTGACACCGAAAGGGAGCTGGTCTCCCTCCTGATGGATGCACAATGTTCCTCCCTGCCCTCAGTCTGATTACAGGTGATGAGGGATGCACCCTGAGCTCAGGGTGGCTGGTCCCTGGTGGTACCAACACCATCTCTACTGGTTTAAAGGAGTCAGAGGATCTAGGACTTTTTTTTTTCAGAGTAGAATTGCACTTTAACCTTTCCTGGGAGCTGGGATTGCTGCTCTGGGAAGCCCTGTACCCGAGTGGCAGTACCAACTCCCTGCTCATTCAGCCTTGCAGCTGCTGAGGAGCCTTCTCCAAGCACTGTCCCCTCTGCCAGGAGGGGGGCAGGAGCTCCATGCTGCTTCCCTGCCCTGGGAATTGAAGTGATGCTGGGTGGGGATCCTCAGGTGCCTCTCTGCCCAGCCCAGTATCCTGGGGGATGGGACAGGTTGCTGTGAGGAGATGACATGTTCCTCCTGGAGATCTGTGTAGCATCAGGGGCGGTTTGCTCTGCCCTGTCCTGGTGGGTGCCAGTGCAGGCTGTAGAAACGAGGAGCAGAGCCTGGAAAAGGGATTGAACTGCCTGCTCAGTCGTGAAGATAAAAATTAACCCTAAAAATAACCTCTCTCAGGCTCTGCAGTGCCTGGAGGGGGTTTGGCCAGTGCCTCCCTCCCCTGCCGAGTCTCACACTGGGAGATGTGTAGGAAACACTGTAGGAATGGGAAATGTGGTGCCAGGCTGTGCAGGGTCAGGCACTGGCTCTTCCCTTCAGCTGAGTCTGAATGTGCCACAGGGCAGCTGCTGTCACCGGGCTCATGGCACAGCTTCAGCCTTCCCAGCCTGACAGCCCGATGACCTGGGCTGCCTGGACACTCCTGCTTCCAGCTGGCCTGGTGGCTGCCTAAAGGATGCCCTGGCTCCCTCTGCCCAGTGACCAATATCCCAGGCAGTCAAGGGAGCCAGTCCTGGGGCATCCAGGCTGTGCCAGGAAGCCAGGGATGCTCCCTGGAGAGCACACCACAGCCTTCAAAGCACCCTGGGCTCAAAATAGCGAGTTTCCCTCTCTTCCTCTCTTCACAGCCTGTTTTCTGAGGGTGTCTGGGGTCTCAGGGAGGTTCCCCTGCTGTGTCTCCTGGCCTGGGTTGCCTCTTTGCTCAGCACCTGAGTCCTGGCAGCCCCACAGGTCCCTGTGCCAGCGTTGCAGCCATAAGAGGCTCCAAGGGCCGGATTCAGGCTGCCCTTCAGCCAGCTGGGGCAGAGCAGGAGTGTGGCTGCAGGTGCTGGGCAGGGAAACCCCAGGCTTGCATATCAGTCCAACCTGAGTGTTGGATATGGATTGTATCCCACTGAGATGCCCCTGGCAGGGAGTGAGGTGCCTGGGCTGTGTTCTCACCACACTCCCTCCTCTGATCCCTTTCCCATAGGCACACTGAATGTTCCTTCAGGAGAGCTGGATTTTCAGCTTCGGGGAGCTTTTCTGGCTTTAAGTTGTCCATTCATTAATGTTTCCAGGTACTTTTGGAAACGCAGATTTCCCTGTGGCAGCTCAACTAAACGCATCAGTGCCAAACCAGCACCTTCTTAACAAAACCAGTCCTTTCTCCAGCTTATTTTCCTGTGTAATTGTTTTTATTTTGCAGTATTTCCTGAATGACTTCGTGCCTTGATTCAATGGCCCAGCTGGGTGGCGATGGCGTATTATCACTGTGTTCTGTGTTGGTGTGGTCTTTAACACTGAGACTGTTTGATTTGGTTCTTTAACTTATTGCAAATTGTGCCCTACAGGACTTGCTCTGACCGGAATGGTTTCAATAAACCCTCTTTTGCATTGTTTGTAAATAGTGCCCTGCTTTGGTGTTGCAGCGGAGGTCACACAAGACCACTGGGATTTTGGGAGCCCTGTGGGTGAATCCTGAAGGCAGAAACCCCCCATTTTTGGGAGGGATGCATGTGTCTTGGTGATGTTTTGGTGGCTGAGGCGCTGCCCTGCCTCACTGCGGGCAGGGATGGACCAGGAAAAGGGAGGGAGCGTGTGGAGAGGCTGGAGTTGGATAACCAGCCTGGGCTAGCCCGTCCCTGCCCCCCGCCCGGGGCTCCGTGACCTGGTTTTACACCTCAGATTCCTGCTGCAGTCCACCAGCATGAAAATCTCATGCCGGGGCTTGGATTTGGATCAAGCCGGAGGGAGACGCGTGGCAGGCGCTGTCTCCGGGAGCGCGGGACCATCTGTCGCTGCCCGGTGCCTGCCAGCCCCGAGCCCCATCCTGTGACCGAGGCTCCAGCAGCTTCCACTGCCCCCGGGCCCCTGTGCCTGCCCCACACTGAGCTCAGAATGCCCCCTGCTCCACGCCAGGGATCCCAGGCTCTGTGGCAGGGAAGGATGCCGTAATAATCGCCAACATCCCAAGCACCCGCGGTGTTTGTTAGCCGGGGTACGGGCTGGAAACACCCCCAGCCTGCTCCGCTCTGTGGGTCCCTGGGTGCGTTTGGGGGGGCTGGGCTCCAAGGGTGAGCACTGGTGGGCACCAGCCCCCCTCTCCTTTACGTAACCACCACTGATAATCCCCCACAGCCGGGGCTCGGCTCCCGGGAAGGGAATAATCCTGCCGTGCGATCCTCGCCCTCTGCTCAGATTATCAGTCCGTGGGCAGGGAGAGTGGCTCAGCTGCCAGCCCTGCTCTCTGTCCCTGTGCCAGCCCGCAGGGCCCTGGCAGCCCGGGTTTGCTGGCCCCTGGCTTCTCCACCCCTGCTCCCAAGCTGGTCCTCCCGGCCTGGGGTCTGCACTTGCTGGGCGCTGCAGGCAGGGGAGGGGTTTGCTGCCAGCACGGGGGGTACAGGACACAATCCAGCCTGGAGAGGTGGCCAGCACCTTGTGCACCTCGCACCCTGCTATGGCCTCCCTTGTCCCCCTTGCCCCAAAACCGCGGGAGCCTCAGCGTTTCCCCATGGGGGCTTTATTGTCCTGTGCCCGGGCTGGGGGCCGGAGGGGGGGGGGTGGCCCCGCACCAGGCCGGCTGGGTGCGGGTTCCCCGAGGGAGGGGAGGGTGTGGGGATGTGAGCAGGGGCTACAGCGGGGCCAGCCTGGCCCCGGGGGGCTGCTGGGGGGGATATGGCTTCTCTCCTTCAGTGCTACTGCCGGCAGGGTCCTGCGGCGGGGCTGGGGTGTGCTGGGTCACGGGGCTCTCATGTTGGCGGGGGGCTGCAGCCTCAGCTCTCCTCCTCGGGGACTGGGGCAGTCGAGGGGCTCCTGCTCCTCTCCTCGGCATCGCCCGCGGGCAGGAGCAGGGCCGGGCTGGGGCTGGAGTGCCGCTGTTTGCGCATGAAGGGGAAGACCCTGCGGGCAGAGCGGGGTCACAACCAGGAGGGACCACCCAGCGCCCCAGGGGGACGGTCCCTGCCCTCACCGCTTCTTGGTCTCCGGGGGGATGATGGCCTCGGCCAGGAGGTTTTTGTAGAGGTCCGACTTGAGGAACCGCGGGTAGGAGTCCTGGGCGAGCAGAGGCGTCAGGATCCTGCCCATCCCTGCCCACCCAAGCCCTGCCCTCACCCACCTTCTTCATCAGCATGTAAATGTGCATCTGGGCGTCGTCCATCACGTAGCGATGGGGCGTCTTGATGCCCTCCAGCGTCCGCTCCATCGTCTTGCTGTCGATGTTCACCCAGCGCGTGGCCCCGGGAGCCAGGAACTGCCTGGGGAATCACAGGCGGTGCTGAGCCCGGCCCCGCAGGGGGACCCTCCCCCAAACCTTGCCCCCCAAACCCTGGCCCCGCTGGCGCTCACTGGTAGATGTCGTCCACGATCTCGGCGATGCGGGACTGCTCCCCGTAGCGCAGCTCCTCACACGCCTCCCAGAAGCTCAGGTTCTCGGCTGGGGAGGGGGACGTGGCGCTGGGCACCCCCCATGGGCAACCCCCAAAGGCCACTGTGGCTGGGCACGCGGCCCTGCAGCCCCCCTGGGATGGAGCCAGCTGGGATGGTGTGGGGCAGTGGGTCCAGGGGAGCCTGGGCAGGTTAGTCAGGAGGTACTGGGATGGGGTGGTAGATTTGGAATGCCAGCATGGAGAGGTGGGTTGTGCGATGCCAGGACAAGGTTATGGGTTGGTTTGGTGGTGTTGGGATTGGCCAGTGGATTAAGCACTACCGGGACACAGTGGTGAGTTTGGAGGTGCTGGGACAGAGTGATGGGTCTGGGGGTGCCAGGACACAGCGGTGGGTTTGAGGGTGTGGGGCTGGGGCCGCTCACCACTGAACTCCTTCTTGAGGAATTCGAGGAGCTGTGCCCGGCCCAGGGGATCCATGATGAGCTCGCTGAAGTTGAAGCCCCAGCGCTCCACACGCAGTTTCGTGGGGGTTGTCACCCTGCAGGCAGCACCAGCATTGGGGCTGGCAGCCCTTGGCTGCCTGTGTGACCCCACACCCCGTCCTTGGGTGGGGGAATGGGGGGGCGTGGGGCGTGGGTGCTTACGTGGGGGCGTTCATGACCCAGTATGTGGTGTCGTCCGTGATCCAGGGGTTGCTGGGCAGGCAGCCGGACATGATGGGGTCGTGGGGCACGTACTGCTCGTTGAACTTGATGTACCTGCCGGGAGCAGTGGCTGGAGGTGGCCAGGGCCACCGAGCCCAGCCACCCCGGGGACACCATGAGGACGTGTTGGGGACATGCCCAGGCTCTGCAGAGCCTCAGCTCCACTCCCTGCTGAGGGTTATGGTGCTGTGGTGCCACCCACCATCTGCAGGAATGTGGGTGCCCCCTCACCCCAGCAAGGGACCTGCAGCCGGGGCAGCCACTGCCACTCACCCCTCGAGGCAGATGGAGGACTTCACCCTGGTCCTGGCCATGGCCTTCCTGCAGTACTCGATCTGGGGCCAGGTGCAGGGGAGATATTGGGGTGTCCAGCAGCCTGTGACACCCAGGGGCCTCCCCCACCCTTTGCCCCACTCACCTCCCGCTTGTAGTAATCCATGTTCTTGGTCTGCAAGAGACAGGCAGGGCTGGGTGAGGGCAGGGCAGGGCCAGGACATCGTGTCCTGCCATCGCCACCCTGGCAATCCAGGCGTCCAGTCCCCCACCCCAGGACCCCATAGCCCATCCCTGTGGCCTCCAGTCTCACCCCTGCTGGCTCAGCCAGCACAGCCCATGAGGTGTGACCCCCCCTCACCCCAGTGTGACACCAGCCCTAGGTTAGTGACACTTACGTGGGCAGAGGACACGGCACACGGCGCAGAGAAGAGAAAGTGGGTGGTTAGTGAGGACAGACTGGGGGTGCTGGGGCAGCATTAGTGGGGTCACAACACGGGGACGGTTAGAGTTAGGGTTGGGGCTCCTGGCAGTGCAGTGCCCTGCAGGGATTAGAGGTGCTGGCACGGGGGGTGGTGGGTACATGGGCAAACACACAGACCCCCCGACTCAACAGGGTGGACACACGGATGTTAGCAGAGCTGGGGCTCACCACCCCCTTCCCTCCCCCAAATGTGGACAGAGCCTGTGGTGGGTGGGATGGGCACCCACTGGGGCAGCTCGATACCCCAGGCACAGGCACATGGCTGTGCCCTGTGCCCCTTGACAGCCCCAGGGGTGCCTGGACCCCCCCACTCACCAGCTGGACACGGGTGGTGTGGCAGTTCCTGCGCTCGGGGCCCTTCTCCAGCACATTGGGGGCTCCCGGCTGCAAAGAGAGCATCGTGCTGGAGGCTGGGCGGACCCTCCGCACCCCCCAGCCCCGCTCCCCAGGCTGGGGCTGTGTGCGGTGCCAGGGCGCTTCCCAGGGCTGCACCCTCCAGCACGGCGCCCCTCGCCCCCCACGGTGCTCACCGGGGGCCGGTTGACGAGCCAGAACGCCTGCTCCTGGCAGTCGATGACGATGCGGTCGCCCTTCCGCCGCTGCTTGGCCGCCCTGCCCGTGCAGAGGCAGCGGGGGAGCGCTGGCACCCCGCACCCCGCCTGCCCCGCACCCGCGGGGGCTCCGTCCCGGCCGTCCCGGGGGGCGGCGGGGCCGTGCCCGCACTCACCGCAGCTGCTCCCGCGCCTGCATCACCACGAAGTCCCACGTGTGGTTGATCCGCTTGTGCAGGAGGTTGTAGTTGTCCTGGGGAGCGGCAGCGGCGGTGTCACCCGGATGGGCACGGTGTGGCACCTGTCCCCTTGCCCGGCTCCGCGTCCCATTGCCCCAAGGGCACCCACAGCTCCCCAAGGTGCCGGTGCCCCCTGCACCACAGCGGAGCCCCTGCTCCTGGGTGAGCTGAGACCACCCCCCAGCCCATCACAGGAGGGCACCGCTCACCTTCTCGTGCTCGATCAGGTCGCCCTGCTTGCGGATGTTCTTCTTGGCCAGGTAAATGGCTGCAAGAGGAACGGCGGCACCTCAGAGGGGCTGGGAAGGGGCTGCAGCCCGTGTGGTGCCAGCAGCACGATGGCACTTACCATAGTCCAGCTCCGTGGCCGGCCACTTGGTGCTGGTCCAGAAATAGGGGGTCTGCGGGGAGAGGGAGAGGGTCACATGCCGTGGGGTGCCACGGAGCCGAGCCCGGGGACCCCCGACCTGCGGCAGTGCCCGTGCCGGGCGGGGCTGTACCTGGAAGCGGTAGGGAGACTCGTCCGCCCGCAGCACCAGGCTGCGGGGGTCTCTGAGCGGGTAGATGTAGCCGTGCTTCACGATGAGGTTGCCGAGGTGCAGCGCCTCTGGGGGAGCAGGAGTGGGGGCTGCAGGACAGCTCGGCAGCCCCGGTTGCCCCCGCAGCGCCAGCTGCCCGTGCCAGGGCACTCACCCTCCTCGGAGATGCCGTACTTCTGGATGAGCCACTCCACGATGTCGTTCCCTGGGGACCCAGGCAGCGTTAGTGGGGTGCAGTGGGGTCCCCCAAGCTGGGCATGGGGAGGTTCCCGGCTGGGGCGCTTGGCACTCCATGGCAGTGCCAGGGGTCACGCAGGGTGACGGGGGCCCTGCCAAGGACGTGCGAGCGCCCGCCCCGCGCAGCCGATGCATAATTGATCCCAGCTGCAGCGCCGAGCACCCGCGGGTGCGGGGCGGCGAGCAGTGCGGGGTGCCGGGGGTGGGTGCTGGTGCAGTGCTGGGGACACCCGGGGAGCACCCACACGACTCCCCCACCCCACTCACCTCACGGGGCACCCCATGGGGGGACCCACCTGTCATGGCGTGGGGGATGACGGTGATGAGCAAGCGTTGGTTCCTCATCTTGATGCCCATGTCGGGGTCCTGCATGCTGACGATCATCCGCTCCATCTGCCGGGAAAGCACACGCCCTGCTCAGCCCCCCGACGGGGGCGCCGGGCCTGGGCACAGCCTGGCTCCCCCACACTGTAACCCGGGGTACCCTGGGACCTGGACACAGCCTGGCTCCCCACAACCGGACAGGGGCACCCTGTGCTCAGCCTGGGGTCAGCCTGGCACCCCGCAATTCCCCGGGGCACCTGTGCCCAGCCTGGGGACAGCCTGGCACGTCACAGCCAGACCAAGGCACCGGGCACCCAGGAGAGTGTGCGACGCCGGAGGTGCAGGCACCGATCCGAGCATCCCTGGCCAGGGGACCCCCGGTTTTGCGGAGTGAGCTCTGCCGAGGCTGTGGCAGCACCCCGGCTCTGCGGGGGGGAGCAGAACACGCAGCACCGGGGCTCTTCCCGTGGGGGTCCCTGCGCGGGGCGGTGCCCAGTGTCCCATGGCGGTCCTGGGGCCAGGGTGGTGCATGCTGTCCAGCGATGCACTGAATGGTGCTGGTCCCTGGTCCCCGGAGAGACGATGCTTGTGCCCCGGTCCCCGATGCACGCGTTGCCCAGCACACTGTCAGTGTCCGGTCCCCCCGGTGCCAGCTCCCGCGCCCCGCACGGTCCCAGTGCTCGATCCCCACAGTCCCAGCGCCCAGTGCCCACGGTATTCGCTCCCCACGGAGCCAGTGCCCGGTGCCCACAGTCCCAGCTCCCGGTGCCCGCGGTACCCGCTCCCCGCGATGCCGGTGCCCAGTTCTCGCCGTGTCGGTGCCCTGCACGGGCGCGGTGCCCGCTCCCCGCGGGGCTGGTACCGCTACCGGTGCCGGTGCCGCTCACCTTGCGCAGACAGGGCATCTGGAGGCGGGGGTGCCGGCCGCGGGGGCCGCCGATGGTCATCGCGGGTGCGCGCCCCGCGGCCGCACCGCTCCGCCCGAGCCCGCCCCGGTCCCGCCCGGCCCTGCCCGGTCCCGCCCCGCTGCCTCCCGCGGCTGCCGCCACCAGCACCGGGCACTCCTGACGGGCACCCCGGTCCGGGGCGCAGCCGGAGCCCTGTCCCCGAGGCCTGGGACCGGTCCCCGCCCTGCCCGTGGGACCCCCGGCCCGACCCACGGGCCCGACCCCCGCGCAGCTCCCACGCCGCCGCCGCTCTGCCGGCCCGGTCTGTCCCGGGGCCCCAGGGGTGCCCCGGCTGACCCGGTGCTGGCGAGATGGGGAACACATCCCTGTGGCTTTTGGGATGGCGGTGCGGGAGGGGCTCGGGCGGTGCACCGAGAGTGCGGGCAGGATGCTCGCGGGGTGCGGGCAGCGCGGACAATGTGCTGGCGGCGTGCGGGGCTGCGGGCAGGGCGGGCAGGTGGTGGACGCTGTGGACATGGTGCTCGCAGGATGCGGGCAGTGCGGGCAGGGTGCGGGCAGGGCGCTGAGGGTACAGGCAGGATGGTCGCGGGTTGCGGGAGGGTGCGGGCAGTGCACTGAGAGTAAAACCAGGATGATGGCGGGGTGCGGGCAGTGCACTGAAGGCACAGGCAGGATGCTCGCGGGGTGCGGGCAGGGTGCGGGCGGTGCACTGGGGGTACAAAACAGGATGCTCGCGGTTTGCGGGGGGCGCGGGCAGTGCACTGAGGGTGCCGGCGGGATGCTCGCGGGGTGCGGGCAGCGCGGGGCGGGCGCGCCCGGCGATGAGCTCACTGCAGTCTCGCCGCCCACGAGCGGCGGGCTGAGCCGCCGAGGGGCGGGGGCGGGCGGGGGCGGGCAGCGGAGCCGCCGCGTCTGCGGGAGCCGCCGCCGCCGCCCCGCCGGGCCGCGCCGGGCAGCGCCGGGGAGCGCAGCGGGGAGCGCGGGGGAGCAGCGGCACCGCCGAGCGCGGCGGCAGCGGGCGGGAGGAGCCGCCGGCACCTGCACAGCCGCGCCCCGGGCCCCGCCAGCGGCCGCCTCGCCTGGCCCCGGGGGCGGCGGGCCCGGCCCGGCCCGGCCATGCTCGGCCTGGACGTGTGCGAGGCCGGCGGGCAGCTGCTGGAGCTGCTCTGGCTGGCACTGTGCTACCGAGGTGAGCGGCGGCGGCCGGGGGCAGCGCCCGGGGCGGCGGGGGGGCATTGCCCCGGGGAGGGCGGGCGAGCATCACTCCGGGTCCCCCCAACAGGTGAGCATCCCCCGGGCACCAGCTGCATCACCCCGGGCCCGGGGGGACCCGAAAGTCCCACGGGGGAGTCCCCTGCCGTCCCCCTGCCTGTGGCACCCCCCGCATCCCACCCTGCCCTGCCACCCGTGGGGGGCCGGCCAACCCCGGGTGGGTTCACCCCTGGGTTGAGAGCCCCTGCACGCTGCCGCGACAGTCGAGGGCAGCCGCGATGGGGACCCAGAAGTGCAGCAGGGCCACTGCTCTGTGTCCCCGTCACTGCTACTGCACTGGGGACCAGCAGCCCTGTGGCCTCAGGGCTGAGCACGGTGGCCCCTGCCCCATGCTGTGTCCCCAGCACGTCCCCAGGGATGGGGTTCTGGAGGCTCTGGGGAGCTCAGTGCTGGCAGTCACAAGCAGTGGGGGTGATGCAGTGGGCAGGGAGAGTCAGGGGCTGTGGGGACATCACCCATCCTTGTGCTCCCCAGCAGAGATGCCTTTTTGCCCTGGAATTGCCAGTGGTTTGGGTTTGGGTTTGGGGTGGGAGATGGGGCTGCTGGCTGCCCAGCAGGGTTGGCGGGGGCCGTAGGGTGGTGACAGGGACCTCTCTGTGTGACACCGAAGGGACCTGTGCGCTGCAAGGGTCTGCAGGCACCCCCTGCACTGAGCACACCACGTAGGCACCAGCTCGTTTTGCTCCATAACCGTGCGGAAATGCAGCCGGCGGCAACACCTCTGGTCTCAGCTGTGCCATCAGGCCCTGGGGACACCGAGCCTGGCGCTGTCCCCACTGTTCCGAGCAGGGGAACAGCTCGTCTGCCCTCCGGGGATTGCCCACATCATCCGTGGCGTGCCACAGCTCAGCCACCCCCTGCCCGCCAGCGCCTTTTTGTCGGGGCATGGGGGGAGTCCCCCGGGTGTCCCCGGGGCTGCCACTGCCTGTCCCCCGCAGACATCATGGCTGACAAGGAGGGGGTGACGCTGTCGCTGGAGGAGGAGGAGGAGGATGCCGACGTGGCCCTGGCGTACAAGACGCCGGAGAAGAAGAGCCTGCGGGAGATCCAGGAGCTGGACCCAGGGGATGAGAGCCTGCGGAAGTACAAGCAGGCGCTGCTGGGTACCATCCCTGTCGCCGTGGGTAAGGCGGGGGGCTGCTCCTGGGGATGTGCACCATGGCACTCCGGGCCCTCAACACCCCGGCACCCCGGCTGGGTGAGGCAGCCTCGGCGGGCGCAGGGAGCTCGGGAATGCCCAGCACCCGCGGGGCATCCCCAGCAGGGAGGACACATCCCGGCCGGCATCGCCCGTGGGCGCTGCCTGTGCCCCCCGCCCGCGCAGAGACCCCGGCATCCCCTGCCGACAGGGTACCGGTGCCCGGGGACCCCGGTTGCCTTGGTTACGGGATCACCGCCGCAGTTTCCATAGGAACGGCTACAGGGAACCGGGAAATTCATGGCGATGACGGAGAGGAACGAGCAGCCGAGGGGCCGGGGTAGCACGGCTGCCGGTGCCCAGACGGTGCCCCCTGCTCTCCACGGCACCCACGGCAGCCCCCCAGCCTGGTGCTGGCCTGGTCTGGGGGGCTTCACGGGCCCAGCACCCCGGTGGGCATCTGTGGGTGCATGGGGGAGCTGCAGGCTGGGGGGGAGGTCCATGCAAACCAGCGGGGTGTGTGAGAGGTGCACGATGGGGTGTGTGCGAGCTGGGGGGTGTGCAGGCTGGTGGGGTGCAGGTAACTCAGACCAGTCCCCACCCCAAGGGATGCCTTTGCTGCACATGCTGCATCCTCCTCCTCTGCCTCTGTCCTGCTCCTGAGCCAGGAAATGGTGCACCCAGGGACATACCCGTGTCTGGGTCCTTTAAACATGATTTTACTCCAACGGCACTGATGCCAATGTTGGGGTGACCCGAGATGCCCTGTTCTCCTGTGCCCTGCCTGGCTGCCCAGCTCTCCTGGTTCTAACATCCCACCAGGGACACTGTGGCCCTTCCTGCTGTTACAGGGGCATGAGCAGCCCCTCAGCTCACTGGGATGGAGGTGCCAGTGGGCTGGGCATGGTGGGTAAGGCCTGGGCCCCGCTGTTTGTCCCTAGATGCCAGCGTGCCCAACGTGCAGGTGACAAGGCTGACCCTGATGTGTGAGCAGGCACCAGGGCCCATCACCATGGACCTGACAGGTGAGCTGTGGGGACACCAGTGGGAGGAGGAGGAGGAGGAAGGGGTACCAGGCTGATGGACCATCTCCCCACACAGGAGACCTGGAGGGGCTGCGAGGCAGGGCCTTTGTGCTGAAGGAAGGGGTGGACTACAGGGTGAAGGTGTCCTTCAAGGTGAGCCCTGTGCCCGCTGGCTGGGCATGGCCCTGCTGCCCTCACACCCCGGGGTCCCTGCCCCAAGAGGTCCCTGTGCCATGGGTCCCTGTCTGATGAGGTCCTTCATGAGGTCCATGCTCCCCATGGGTCCCTTTTCCCACATGTCCCTGCCCCAGAGGATCCTTGTTATCTGGGGCCCCTGCCCTCCCACCCTGGATGCCCTACCCCGAGGGGTCCCTGCTCCCCATGGGTCCCTTTTCCCACATGTTTCTGCCCCACAGGGTCCTTCCTGCTGCCCCTGGGGGGTTCCTGCCTGCTCCAGGGTCCCTGCCTGCTCCAGGGTCCCTGCCTGCTCCAGGGTCCCTGCCATTTGGGTCCCTGCTGCCTTGGGGTGTCTGCTTCCCACCCCTTACCCACAGAGTCCGTGCCCCTCTGAGGGTCTCTGCCCATTCTGAGGTTCCTGCTCTCCTGTGTCCCTGCCACCCTGGGAATCCTTGCTGTCCCCAGTGTGACTGCCACCCTCTGGTCCTTGCCCCTCTTGAGGGTTCCTGCCAGCCCAGAGTCCCTGCTCCTCCCAGAGGTCCCACTGATGTTGGGTCCCTGCCTATCCCAGGGGTCCCTGGAGGTCCCTGCCCCTCCTGAGGGGGGATCCACCAAGTCCCTGCCCCTTCTGGGGGTACCTGCGCCCCCGATGCTCCTGAGTGCCCACTCCTGACACGGGGCTGGATCCCAGAAGTGGTGGATGTCAGGATGGGTGCCCAAGGACGGCACCCATGGCACCCGTGCCCTCTGCCCGCAGGTGAACAGGGAGATCGTCTGCGGGCTGCGGTGCCTGCACCTCACCTACCGCCGGGGCCGGCCCGGTGAGTGGGGCCGGGGGGCCGGGCCGGGGGGGCAGGGCAGGGCAGGGGGGGCCAGTGCCATCCTGGCCCCACTCACCCATCCCTCCTCTCCCCTTCTCGCCCAGTGGATCGCGACGTCTTCATGGTGGGCAGCTACGCGCCGCGGGCCGAGGAGTACGAGGTGGTGACGCCGGCGGAGGAGGCGCCGCGGGGATGGCTGGCACGGGGCTCCTACCGCGTCCGCTCCCTCGTCACCGACGACGACAAGACGGAGCACCTCTCCTGGGAGTGGGGCCTCTGCATAAAGAAGGACTGGGAGGACTGACCCCCCGCTCCGCACCCCGGTTCCTCCCGCCAGCTCGGGGACGCGGTGCCGCCACCCCGGGGGACCCCTCGCCGGCACCGCCGCGCTTGCCCCAGTCGTGTGAAGGGTTGAGGGGGGGTCCCTTAGCGAGTGGGCGCCCGTGGTCGTGGTCTTCGCAACCAAAGTTATTTTTAATTGCTCTTTTTTTTTTTAAATCTCGGCGCCCGCCTGGTCCTCACGGTGTCCCCGTCGCTGGGGCCGGGGCTGTGACCCCGCCGCGGTGGTGCCGTGCCCGGTACCCGCCCGGTCGCAGGCTGTGCTCTTCCATCGCCATTAAACCCTACAGACTGGTCTCTTACTGGTGTGTCTGTGCCCCCGTCACCTCTGCCCGTCCCCCTGCTCCCTGTCTCCCCCTGTCCCTGTCCCCATCCCACTGGCAGGGCCAGGTCTCCCTGCGGTGACGAGTGGCTGGAAAACGGCCACCTGGTCCCACTGCCTTATCGGCCGTGCCGGGCAGCCAGTAGCGGAGGGCCACGAGCCCCAGGGGACCGGCACCTCCCGCCCCAGGGCTCTTATCTGCGTCCTGCCCCCCGGACAACGTCTTCTGCACCGGCACCATGCGGGGCTGCGGGTCCCGGCTGGTTTGGCTGCTGGTGCTGTCGCTGGCCTGGCTGGGCCCGGCACTGGGGGACGAGGAGAAGGATGGGGAGGTGGTGGCAGAGGAGGAAAAGGAGAAGGAAGAGGACGAAGTGCTCTCAGATGAGATCAAGGAGGAGGACAATGTCCTGGTGCTCCATGAGCACAACTTTGCCCGTGCTTTGAGTGAGCACCAGCTGCTGCTGGTGGAGTTCTGTGAGTGTCCCCACTGCGGGCAGGGGTGTGGGCAGGGGCAGATGTTGGGCAGGGAATAGGGGCAGGGGATACTGGCCATGGCTGTGAGTATGGGCAGAACAGACATATGGGCATTGGGGTGGAGGGGGGGATAGGCAGGCAAGGCTGTGGGCCAGAGGGGCAGGATGTGACATGGTATGGGATGGGGACAGAGACATGTAACAGGGACACAGGCAGGGGCTGGGGAACAAGTAGCAGGGGCATGGCACACAGGACAGGGACATGTGGTGGGGCTGGGGGACATGGACCCTGGAACAGGGGCATGAGCTGCGGCCCAATGGGCTCATGTAGCCATTACAAGCCCACCTTGGGGACAGGGGACACCCCAAAGCTGTCCCCACTGCCCACACCGTCCCCTGCCTGCAGACGCACCGTGGTGTGGGCACTGCCAGCAGTTGGCCCCCGCCTACACCCAGGCGGCCACCCAGCTGAGGAACGAGTCCAGCCCTGCACGGCTGGGCAAGGTGGATGCCACGGCACAGACAGCCCTGGCCAACGAGTTCAACATCACCTCCTACCCCACGCTCAAGCTCTTCCGTGATGGCAACCGCACCCACCCCCTCCCCTACACCGGTAGGGCTGCGGCACCGCGCGGTGGCCGTGGCACCCAACAAGGGGACACTGCCATGGGGCTGGGGAGGGTGGCAGGGTGGTGATGGCCAGAGGGGTGGCAATGTCCTGGTGGAGGTCACAGGGTGGTGATGGTGAGATGGGTGGCAAAGTCCTGGTGGGGTTTGTAGCATGGTGACAGTGGGCAGGTGACAGTGCGGTGATGCTGTGTGAGGTGGGTGATGCCGGGCAGTGCCGTGGTGCTGCTGGCAGGTGGCCAAGGCTGAGTGGCCCAGGGAGGAGTGGCAGCCTGGTGAGGGGTGTCAGGGTGACAGCACCGGCTCTGCTTGGCACGGCAGGAATCATGGACACGCAGGGCATTGTGCGCTGGGTGCAGCGCCGGGCCGGCCCCAGTGCCACGCTGCTGCACGACACCGACACCGCCAGCGCCTTTGCCAGTTCCCAGGACTTGGTGGTCATCGGCTTCTTCAAGGTGGGCTGGGGTGGACAGGGCCGGACTGGGGCTACAACCATGGCCGTGGCCGTGGCACTGATGTGGGGACTGTGCAGGACCTGAAGGGCAAGGCAGCCCAGGCGTTCTACGAGGTGGCTGTTGAGATGGTGGACATGCCGTTTGGGGTGGCGGACGCCGCCGAGCTCTTCCAGGCCTATGGGCTGTCGGCTGACACTGTCTGTCTCTTCAAGAAGGTGAGGGGGTGGCAGAGGGTGGTGGGGCTGTCCTGGTCCCCACCTCAGCCCTCACCAAGCCCCTGCCCTGGCAGTTTGATGAGAGACAAACAAACTTCCCCGTGGACCCGACGCGGGGGCTGGACACGGCTGAGCTCACCCGGCTGCTCCGCGTCCACAGCCTGAGGCTGGTGACGGAATTCAACAATGAGGTACAGCCTGTGTCCATCCCCATCTGTCTGTGGGTGCCATAGCCCCTTGCCCTCACCCTCCTCCTCCTCCTCAGACATCCAACCAGATCTTCAGTGCCAAGATCCCCCACCACATGCTGCTCTTCCTCAACAAGTCCTCATCGGAGCAGCTGTCCCTGCAGGACGGCTTCAAGGCAGCCGCCAGCACCTTCCGGGGCGAGGTGAGGTGGTCCCAAGGCAGGGACAAGGCGGGTGGCTGTGGGACACCCCATCCTCAGGGTCACCCATCCCCTGCCCAGGTGCTCTTCGTGGTGGTGGATGTGAACGGGTACGGCGCCGACGTCCTGTCCTTCTTTGGCATGACCCCCGCCGACGCCCCCACCCTGCGCCTCGTCAAGATGGAGAACAACCGCAAGTACCAGATGGAGCAGGACTCCTTCTCGGAAACGGCCATCCGCACCTTCATCCAGGCGGTGCTGGATGGCAAGGTGAAGGTGAGGGAGGCGGCAGGTGCCAGCCAGCACCTGAGGATTCTTCCCTGTGGTGAGCGGTGGGCTGGTGACTCCGAGGCCTAATGATGGCAGAAGTGCTGTGAACACCAGCCCCCTGCTCGCTGCTCCTTCTGCTGCCAGGCTTGAGGGTTCTGGGGGGTTGGCTGGGGAAAGGGAGATTGCTGATGTGGAGACACACGGAGCTGGGATGGCAGCAGAGGGGCAGATGTGGTCCAACAGGCAGTGCAGGCACACCCCTGGCTGAGTGCTGGGGTACCCCTGCCCCACACTGTGCCCCTTGGGGCCCTGGCACTGCCCAGCCCAGGCCGTGGCTGTCCCGACTGTCCCCACAGCCCCGCCTGCTGAGCGCCGAGCCCCCCGAGGACTGGGACACCCGTCCCGTCAAAGTCCTGGTGGGGAAGACCTTCGAGCAGGTGGCGTTCGACGAGACCAAGAACGTCTTTGTCAAGTTCTGTAAGTGCTCAGCCCCTCCACAATGGCCCCCAGCCCTGTCACAGACCCTCACCTGGGGGATGCTGCAGAGCCCCAGTCCCCCAGTCCATCCCCTGGCCCTGTGCCCGTCCCGCAGACGCTCCGTGGTGCTCCCACTGCCAGGCCATGGCACCCGCCTGGGAGGAGCTGGGCGAGCGCTACAAGGACCGCGAGGACATTGTCATCGCCGAGATGGACGCCACGGCCAACGAGCTGGAGAACATCACCATCCACGGCTTCCCCACCATGCACTACTTCCCTGCGGGGCCGGGCAGGAAGGTATGAGGGGGGAACACCCCTGGGGTCACCCCGGCTGGGAATGGGGTCACCCCCAGCCACCCTCCCATCCCATGGCTCCAGATGGTTGAGTACAAGAGCGCCCGAGATGTGGAGACTTTCTCCAAGTTCCTGGAAAATGGGGGGATGCTGCCTGTGGAGCCTCCTGTGGTGAGTGTGGTCAGGGACTGCCCCCACCCCAGGGCAGCCCCCAGCCCCTGCTGGGAGAGGGGACGGATCCTGTGGGATGGTGATGGGGACAGGGGCAGGCAGGGACTGTGTGTCCATCCGTGCCTCACTGTTGCCTTTCCCAGGTGACCAAGACCCCTGGGAACAGCACAGGCAAGGAGGATCCAAGCGTGCTGGGGACAGATGAAACCCGGGATGAGCTGTGAGCCCTTTCCTGCTCAGGCATGTGCTATAAACCACCTGGAAACCATGTGGGCTCTGGTCTGTTTGTGGCTCCACGTCTTAGGGAGCATCCATGTGTCTTGGGGGCACAGCAGGGCTGACAATGGGCATGGCCCCCACCACTGCTTGGCCCTGGGCCCCCAAGGAGGGGGTGCTGCCAGGGGCCCTCTGCCTCCTTGGGGCAGCTGTGCCATAACATCCTGGCAGCCCCACGATGGCACAGGTTGGCCAAGGACATGGTTGTGGGGGCAGCCCCAGCGCTCTCCCTGCTGGCCTCGTGCTGGGCTGCTGGGGTTCAGGTGATGGGGGACAAGTCAGGGTCTCTCCTTCAGGGCCCACCAGCCCCAGGGGATCCCCAGGAGCTGCTGTCACAGCCAAGGAAGGCAAGAAGAACCCAACATGGGGATCCACATGCTCCCCTCAAATCTGGCTCACAGCTTCTGGGACCCCCAGCATCCTCTCCAAACTCCAGCACCATCCCCCCTCCCCTGGGCTATTCCTCCAGGGGCAACATGTTGGTCCCCTGGGGCCAGAACCTGCCCAGCCACCCCTCCAGGGAGCCCAGGGCAGCCCCAGCCCCACCACGTGCCCAGACTGTTCGCCAGACCTGTGCCATCCTCTGTCCCTCCCAGAGGCTGCCGGGGGCCCAGGTGTAGCTCCGCAGGGAAGGAAGAAAGCAGTAGGCAGTGGGACATGGGGTTTTATTTCATTTTATCCAAGTACCTTTGAAAAGATCATTGTACAAGTCAGCACATGAGAATGCAGAGGAAATGTCGCTGGGGCTGCACGGCCGCTGTACATATTTACAGGGACCCCCGAGAAAAAGGGGGGAGACGGAAATCCCGGGCACGTCAACAACCTCATCAGACACACCACCATCAGAACTTGAAAAAAACAGGGAGCAAACCCCCTTGAAACGCCGTTCCCGGGCTGAAAACACCTGCAGATTTTGATGGACCTCACGTAGCGTTTTAGGCAAGTCCCAGGACCGTTTTAAAGGCACTCGGTGACATAAACAACAGGCTGAGTCGCGTCCCGGCGCGGTGCCACGGGGTGCCCGGCCCAGCCCCCACTGCTGGGGCTGAGAGCAGTGCTGGGCAGGGCAAGCACTGATGTGGAAACCCCCCGGCTTTGGGCAAGGGGTGGAGCTGGCACAGAATTGCAGCAGGGCCTGGGCTGGGGACAGGCAGGGTGGTGGGAGCACCGGCACAGCCCAGGCTTCCCTGCAACCGAGTAAGGCCAGGAGGCTTCCCAGGGTTCTGGCTGCCCACTGAGTAATCTGGCCCTATATGAGCCCCACACATTGGCATCAATAACCCCCCTGGTGCAGTGCCCACCTGTTGCCTCCCCTGAGACACAGAAGCTGACAA